AGGGTCCATTTATTGTGGTAGCTGAAAGAGACCGCTTATACTTGCACCAATATTTGTTTCTGTTAAAGGGATTTCTTCCAATAAAATTCATTTAGATTTTTCAGGGCATATGTAGAAGCACTGTGGACTAATTCTCAGATTATTGGCACAATCTGAGGCAAATACTACATTCTTGTGTTTTTACAATTTTTGGCCAACATTTTTTTGACCTTATCACATCTTCTGAAGGCATTAAACTTTCTCTACAACAAATGTATCTGCAGAATTAATTTGACTTTCATAGTGGTCACTTTATACACACATCTTGTAGAGGTTCTGAACTATGAAATTCCATGTAAAATGATTTTTTTTGTCACCTGAAGTTTGTTGTGGAGAGTTCAATTGTAAAAGTGAGAAACACAAGAATGCTTGAAATTTTTTGGAAGTTTTAGTGATCTACAAACTTCAGATCACTTATTGTATTCTATTATGGACTTGTTGAAACTGTCTGCAGAAGTTCTGCAAGAGAATTCAGTATGATGAAGAGTTGAAGACATAATCACCTTTTTTTCATAAATCAGGTAAATGAAATTCACTGCCAGTTTCTGTAAGACTTTTAAGACACATGAACCAAAAAACACCCACAGAATAAAATATGAGAAAATATCTCCATTTAATTTCCTTTTACCTGGTGATACTGTATTATAAAAACCATAGCCTATATGCTGTTTGATTATACTTGATACAATGACATACAGTATACCAAAAGCAGAGCTCAAACCCAAGAAAAACATAAGAATCCCAACCTGATACATTGTATAAAAAAAACTTAACGTGACACATAGTATAAAACCTAACCTGGTCAATTAATGTATAACTTATAACCTGACATGAAATAAAACTCAACCTAAAATATAGAATGAACTCTAACCTGAGTGACATGCAGTAAAATCTGATCTAAAACATATACAGTAGAATGAACTCTTAAAATGAATGACATGAAATAAAACCTGACTTGAAAAATTAGATAATCTAACTTGACACCTATATTAGTAAATTCTATAAACTATAATAATTTTTTTGTTACTTTGGTTCGGACCTTGTGTATGACTTTATACATTGGAGTCGTTTTAAGTTAGACTGTGTAGTGTAACATCTAGAAGGTGAGTATTGGTTATTACAATGGACTAGGTATTAATTAAGATGCATTTCAAATTTAAGAAGAAAAATGTGGTACATATTCAATATTGTAACCTATTATTCAGACTAAAACAAAATGGTTGATTTGAGTTAATGGATTTTCAGTCATCTGGAAACCCATGTGTCCAACTGAGAAATGAGGCAGATGAACGATTTTCAACTCGTCATTTCAAATTGTTCAACCTCAAACCAAGCACACATATCAAGCATTAATCCTATGATAATTCTCGAATTTTCAACTGCTAATAAGAACTATTTTTTAAATTTTATTTTGTAGGGAATATCTATTTGAAAAATACCGTTTTCCGCCGGTATGATGCGTTTATATTATCAGCATCTTGGTCATCTTTCCCTCGAATAACCTCTATATATATATATATATATATATGCTGCAGCTCGCACAAAAGAGAATAATACTTCTTTTCTTATTTTTTTTTTTATCAAAAAAAGGGGCTGGATCAACCCTGATAAATCTGAGATGAATCACGGGAATAAAAAAACAATGAAACCAAGCCTGGAACACATACTGAAATATGTAACCTCAGCAAAATTCAATCTGACACATCACATTGTAGATCTTCCACTCATAACCAATAATGTTACCTGATCCATAATTAATTAATGCATTTCAAAATTCAAGAAAAAAATTGAGGTACATATTTAATATTGTAACCAATTCAGACTAAAACAAAATTGTTGATTTGAGTTAATGGATTTTCAGTCATCTGGAAACCCATGTGTCCAACTGAGAAATGAGGCAGATGAACAATTTTCAACTCGCCAAAATTGTTCAACCTCAAACCAAGCACACACATCAAGCATTAATCCTACTATGATAGTTCTCGAATTTTCAACTGCTAATAAGAACTATTTTTTAAATTTTATTTTGTAGGGAATATCTATTTGAAAAACACGTTTTCCGCCGGTATGATGCGTTTATATTATCAGCATCTTGGTCATCTTTCCCTCGAATAACCTCTATATATATATATATATATATATATGCTGCAGCTCGCACAAAAGAGAATAATACTTCTTTTCTTCTCTTTTTTTGTATCAAAAAAAGGGGCTGGATCAACCCTGATAAATCTGAGATGAATCACGGGAATGAAGAACCTCGTCGTCGTCATTGAAGCAGAAGAAGTTCTTCTCCGTTTGTGCCGTTCCACTGCGGATTCCAGACGCCGGTTCTTCTCCTTGAGCCACTGGAGCAACTGCTCAGCGTCATCATGATCCCAGCGCCACGACGACCAGCAGCAACCCGTCTCATCATCTTCGGAGCCAGCATACATGACGATATAAATGGAAAAGAAAAAGTCCTTCCTTTTCTCCAGCAATAAGGTTCCACGTGTGTATGTGTACACGACACACAGACAGACGCAGCACTTTTTTATTCCGATTTTCTCGGAGGAAACCTTGAATGGTCCTTCTTTTCTCGGCACACTCTTCTTTTAATGCTCGATGATGGAGCGATGATGAGAATTTCAGGGGATCCACGTGTGCGGATTTTTTGATAAATGATTATATTTGTTTACAGTACTGGTGTGAGAGAGGAGAGAAAAAAAGGTTGGGGGCAGAGATGAGATAGAAAGTATTATTTTTCTGATGTGATTATGGAGGTTCATTATTACTTATAGGTGTGTTTTTTTCTGAAGGATGGTGCTGATGATGGATATATATACATACATAAATTCAGTATAGGAAGGAAGTCTTCACAAAACCTGTTTAATTTATAAGAATTGTGGGCAGGAGGAAGATCTTTTTATAGGTTTTTATATTTGGCCTCCTTCCACTCTTACATTGGATATTTCAATGCAGTTGAACCTCCTGAAGTCTCTGATTAAATTCCCTTTGAAACAATGCATTAAAAACCTTCCTAACTTGGATAAAGCTTCCTCAAACCTCTACAACTTATATTTTTCTGGTGGCATATTTGGCTATTTTATTATTGAACACAGGAAAGAGAAAAGTAATAAAAATGTAGCTTGATGTGTTTTCAAAGGAAGTGAAAGATTAATTGGGAAATTTAATCCTTGCCTGCAAGTTCATCATATATTCTGTCAACTCATTTAGTAAGTGTGGGCCGCAGGGATAGCAAATATAATCAATCTTGTGCAAATAATCAGACAAATGACCATTAATTATACATAGACCCCAGATTAAAGCATATCCAAGACCTTCTACAAAAGCAATTTAAGACCCAGAATATCACCAATTACAATTTCCCGTTATTCTTCTTTCTTTCCCCCAACAAAAATGCTTGTTTCCCCAACTGGAAACCTCCTTAATTTAAAACATTTTGCTGGCTCCTGGAAATTTGACTTCAAAAGGTTCAGGTGTACTTTATTTATAGAATTTTATTCAACTTGACTTGGGGCAAGCGTATCCAGATTTAGAAAATTTTGCAATTGAACTTTATTACTTGTTTATTATTCTGGGGCAGAATCTGGAAAGACTTTTAAATCCCTTATTATTGTGGTATTATGACATGATGGCTAAAATTGGGGAAAACTATACACAATTAGGTAATGATTTGATTTCTTTCTCAGTTTTGTGTGAGTTAGTTAAGTATGCTGCTTTGGTTTTCTGAAAGTATCAGTGCTATAATTTTGTTATCAGATTTTAGCAGGTTTCAGATTTTTGGTTGAATAAGATGTGTTGGTTGAAATTACCCATATTGATTCAAGGACTGTGTCAGAATGTGTCATCAAGTATGGTTGTGTCAAGGGTCCCTAAGACCTCACAGACAAAGATATGTGTTTTAGTGAAATAAAGTGTGATAAACACAATTGGCGGTTTGCAGCCTGAGGGTTTCAAACTCCTCAGCAATTTGTATGTTCTTTCAAACAATGTCAGGTTCAGTAATATATGTCACACCCAAAAGCAGGTCTGGTCTCACCAAAGTTCATGAGCAGGATTGATTCTGTCTTGCAATGTTTTTACTCAGGTCCAGGTCCTCCTCAGTGAAAAGTTTGTCCCAAGGTTTTCCACTGAGGTGTGGCTAATTTTTGTGTTTACAATTCTTGCTAATTCCTTTGATCAATTGATGATTCATTTGATGGAATTATTCCTGAAGATCAGTACATCTTCAGGGTTGATTGTGTAGAAGATTTTTTCAAATTATGTTTTTATTTACCTTTGTACCCTCTTGTTTGGCAATTTATATGGCGTGGTATTTTACTTAATACCTTGTGCTTTGGGTGACATCTAGATAACCCGTGACAGGTTGAACAAGTTTCCTAATCTTTTTTACTAAAGTATTTGGTAAAATTGTGCTGCAAAAATAGTAAAGGATGCTTAATTGGAGCAAGAAACTACAGTACTGTATAACCATTATTGTCTGATGGGACAGATTAGGTTTGTTGCTCAAGACCCTAACTATATACAAGTACTCATCAATGCTGTATATATACTGTAATAGCCTTTCTGGTTAATTGACTCGCCGGCTCAAGTCCATTAACCGAGGCACCGTTTTATTTTCATTCACAGCAGGATAGAAGCGGCGGTTGAAAAACCCGGGGCTGCTGCTTGATGGTAACCTGAGACCCCTGCGAAACCCAGGGGGGATGGGATCCAGTTACCCACATATATATATATATATAAAAACGAAGGGGCGTTTGCCCCCGCAGCAGCAAAGGCATCAGTATATCCTTGCTGCTGCTGCTATTTCCGAATGCAAATCTCTCGCCATATCATCCCCAGCACAAAAGCTTCATCGTGCCTTTTTTTTGTTCCTTCTGAAAGAAAGAAAAAGAAGCTACGCACACTCTCGTCCGACATATAAACCAGGATACTACACACCACAGCATCATCACAAGCAAATGTTTGCCCCGGAAATTGCCGTCATTTGGTTACACGTGGCCGTTTTTCAATTACCAGGACTGCGATGCGAAGCGTGAGTTTAATCGTATATGCTTTATATATACCTCTGATGCTGCTGCTACTGTGCAAATAGAATGGTTTACATTTTCCGAGTTCGTACGAGCATAGGTGTAATTGTATTATTATTATTGTTGTTTGTCCTTCATTATGTGAGCAGATGATTCAGGCAGACGAGAGGGTTTCCTTGATTGCCAATTTAACGGATCGTGTATATATACAGTGCTGTATTTTATTGGGAAGCGTTTCCGTGATTTGGATTCCCTGTGTGTGTATACTGTTGGATTCGATTGAATTGTCTGTACGAGTAAATTCGAGGCGGTTTTTGATGCTTGGTGATGGAATTGATTGGTGATGCGACCTGATATTTTATTTTGCGTTCCTGATGTGTTTTCCAACTGCAATAACTCTGTATAGTTTACTGATGGTGAAATTACGTGGAAACGAATTTTTCTTCAAGCAGGTCCCTGAGAAACGGTGCTGAAAAATTCCGCCGCAAATTTCCCGGCTTTTGGTGGAAGAATTGATTTGTTTCCGCTGATTGTTGTTTTTTTTTCCAGAATTTTCATCACACAATTTTTATGAAGTTTTCCTTTTAAATTTTTTTTATTTTCACCGACTTTCAAAAGATGGTGTTCTGTCTACATTTTTAAATCAAATCATACAAATGATTATTTTTACAATTTCCATATGTATGATTTTTTTCAAGGCATCTGAAACTGGATTAATTGTAAATGATAATATGGAACAGGAAATAAATTGAAGATCAATATTGAATTCAGGTCTAATTTAGGTTTGAGTTCAATTTTCTGTATACATTTTTTCTGCAATATCACAACTTTTCAGGGACTCAAAACTTGAGTGCATGCTTTAGATAGGGGGGATGTACTTATTTTTTATTTATTTATTGGCTTTATTTTAGGGTGTGTGTTTATTCTTCAGAATATTGTATACTCCATATGATTGGGTTGTGCATTTGATTATCTTGTTTACCCTGCATGATTTCAATATGAAGCAATAATATATTGTTGCCCATTTAATCTGTTAACAGCAGCAGTTTCTCACACAGGCTGTATCCATCAGTACCAATTCAATTTGTGCACTGCTTTGCAAAGCAAGCATTCCTTTGAATTTGACTTTAATTTCAGATTCATTGACCACAGTATATATAAGGCATGTTCTTATATAAGGCTAAGGATATACCGTTCATATTTGATGTCCTATATACTTATAACTATAGGAAATTAAAGTGTCAATTTACCCCCAAAAGATTAAATTCCGCGCAAAAAACTGCTCATTTGTATGACATTTTTATCTCATCCGTCAGCATGGCCTTTTTGATACCTGATTTTCCCGGTTCTTTTTTTTTCCTTGCTTAGAAATTACCTGCAATTTGCCATTGGGTGGACATGGGATCGTAAGCCAGTCGTGGATCACGAGAAGATAAATGTGACCATCAGTCCAGGCCCGGATCACAGCAAGTACACCGTGGATGTGAAGTTTTCTGGCCCGATTTTGAAGCGAGATCCCCAACCGGACGATGCTCAGAAGGGAGCCCCGTATCCTTGGATAACGGAGTACGAGTGTGAGTCGTCCAATTGATATGACCAGCAGGATGAGAAAGCAGCGTGTTTTTGCTTCATGTATATACTGCCAGGGGAAGTGTGAGTATTTCATGCGACGGGGTTTCTACTTTTAGGTGCACAAGCGTTTTTTGCCAACGAAGAGGGACGATATCTGCAGGTGATCATGGATCCGTGAGTATGAGAAGAGTTTCTCCAATTGCGACGATGTCGTATTGAAGTGACATCTACGTGTAGAGTATGCCGACTGTGAAATCGATTCAGGGTCTTCGTCACCCGTCGACGCTACTAATTATATGATGGATTTCATTAAAATTGTGCAGTATACATGACACTATGGTTCATTATTCTACACATACTGTGGTTTGTCTTCATCACTTGGCACATTTTTTGTTCTGCAGTACAGTACTGTATTCATAAACTATTTTATTTTACCTCTCCAACTGAATCAAGAAAAATGTATATACAAAGCAACAATTTGTACACAGTGAAATTGTGTTAGACTAAGCAATTTCTGCTGTAGTTTATGGGTGCAGTCAAGCCAGAATTGCCTGAATGTTTGACTAATTGTTTTGGATTGCCTTTGGGTTTCTTGTAAGTTTTGATGAGGGACAAAAAATTGAATTGGAGAGGTTTTGAGTTGGCAAAACTTATGGCTGATGATATGTTTATTGGGACTGTAAACTTTTTTAGTTAGGCGAGTTTTAGTTGAATGAAAAGTTCAGACTGTGTATTGAAATTCAAGAAACAGGGTGCTTGAATGCTGAGTATGAAGCAGGAAATGTAATAGGTTTTTACGGTCAGAAATAAGTCACAGAAGTATTTGAAACGTATGACTGTTTCTTTCCAGAGTGGAGGCAATTCTTGGAGCATAGCTCAATAATATCCTTGCAAGATAAAATTGCTGGTCTGAGAATGACCAATTCATGTATAGTACCGGTACTTATTCCCGTATTACAAATTAAACCCGGGAATGGTACAGCAAGGGAATAACTATAACTCATTTTCTGAAGAAGGATGAAGTCAGATTCTTCCCCCGAATTATGCGCAGATCAATGAATTTTAAGCTCTGCCGTGCATGCATTGCGCTTCCTTCTCCGCTCCCTTAGTGTTCCTGATATTCAGAAATTTTCCGGGCCTCGAAGTTTCGGCATATGCGTTTCATTTTGCCTACGTTGCACCCGGATTACGTTACACCAGTGCAGTTGACGAGATGACAGCTGCGTAGTATGTTGAGAGGAGTCAGACCCATGCATTCGTTGCCTATGACATAATTGGTTTAATTGGGGTGGGTTCCCTGTACGTCTTCCAAGGTATGGCTCATATCAGATATTGTTACATGACGGTTACCGGGCAGAGAAGTCTTACCTGCGGGCTGCGAGTTCCCTGAAAGCCAACGGAAGTTGGTGGGAGGGGAAGCTGACGATACCCGTCACCTACTTTCCCCCACGGGTAACGAAATTCAACGCAGCTGCCGAGCACGGGCAACCCCTGGGTAATCGGTCTTTTGAAGTGCTTCATCCGCAAGACCCCGACAAGCACCCATACCCTGACGCGTGAGTGCTCTGCGAAGTGTTATGAGATTTTTCGTGCATGTGTTGCTCGTTTTTCAGTCACGTCGTGCAGTACTTTCAGACCATTAACTTCTATGAAGTCTGTCCTGGGAATAGAGAGGCTGAGTATTCGATGTATTGGCTGGATGTAATGTCGGCTGGGTCATCCATCACCGTCAGTGTCGCGTACCTTATCGTTATTGAAGTCGCTGTCAAGTGCGTGGGTCGCATTCTGTCTTGATCACTGTTGGAATTCTTGAAAGAATATTCTCGATATCGCGAAATATGCCTTCTTGCTGTATATGAATGCTTCCGAGCGTGACGCGTGCAAATTTTCATGAGAAATACACGCTACGACGTAATTGAAATTTGGATTTTTTACGCGGAAGCACGTCCTGTAAGAACGCTTTCGCTTCGACGGCAAATGCAATTTCAACGATTTGTGCCTGGAATGTGAGATTCTTCGACTGGAAACGTTCATGTTTCTTTGGAATTTTGAGCTGCCCTTGTGTAGTGTTCGCTATTACCTCTTTATGAACTGGGGAAGGAATGTGCGCGAGCAAGGGCGAATGTCTCGTACGAACCTATGTTGATCAATTGTTTCCCATGCTGAAAAGTAATTCGAGGCATGTGAGATCGTTCGCAAAATTTCCATGCGATGTGTTAGCATAGCCAGAATTTACGGTGCCTATCTTGCGGAATGTGCGGACAATTTCTAAAATCGTCAACTGTCGCGGGTCCCCACTACTCTTCTATGTACCCTGCCGCTACCTTCCTATTGCACGCACGTTGGCGTTGCCGTTCGTGGTCCACCCCAGGTTCCTGATTATTTTTTTCCGTGATATTGTAAAGGCGGCCTTGGACTACCACCTGAGCGAAGGACGGTTGAAAATGCTGAGGTCCGCCAAATTTCACCCTGAATTGTTCGCCATTTTGAGGTGGTCGAACCTTGGGTCCCTTTCCCCCCTCCCCTCCCTGCTCCCCTCCGCGGTCCGTTATTGAATGCTCGGAGGGTCGATTGGCATTTATTCCGTTGGTGACAGTGGCAGTGTAGGGATGTCGGTTGAGTGCCCAAAATCTCTGTTGGATGATTTCAAGGAACCATTGCGTTCCCTTTGCTGCTGCAGCTTTCTGGTGCCATTTCATGGCCATAAAGCTACTTCAGCAAAGCCGATGCGATTGTTCCAGCGACTGAGTGGATGCGTTTGTGAGAAAAAGGAGTGTGAATGGTTCGGCGCGCTGAATCTTTTCGGTGTCACGCGAAGCTCGAGGACCGTAGCACCAAGAGATTCAGCCCGTTGCGCATTTCCTCGAAATTTTTTCACGTCATTTGTCACACCTGAGTTATTCTGTGTATCGTACATTGTATTGGAAGTGCTTGTGGTTGTGAAATAAAATGTTTTCAACGGCTTTACTGTTTTTCAACTCAATATCCCGACGAAATGTATCTGAGAAACGGCTCTATTGTATCCGTGAACCGGAATGAACCCGATGTGGTGTTATTCAGCGTGGTGGATCGTCGACGTTACAGCGTACATTATTATTTGCACTCATTTCAGTAAACGTGATCAGATTTACAGTATTACACTACAGGAAGGTGGTAGTTTACGTGGGAGACATGACTTCACCTGCGCGAATAGTACTGTACATTACATTAAGTAACATCCCTCCGCTACACTGGATCGGTACTATCATTATTATTACCAGTACACCAGGCCCATATGCCCCCTCCCTCTCCACGACTGATCGAGAGGGTGTGGGGTTCTCAGAACTTACTGGGTTATTCTGGGCTTTAGAAACGAGTGCGCATCTTGAGGTAATTCATTCTAGGGCAGTGTTGATTGATCGGCATGGGTGTTCAGCTGCGGAAGATGCTTTGCCTTGATATAGTATTCCTCTCTGTACGATCACTCGACACATTCTGGTTGCTAGGTACTGACGGACACCGCACCGATGATATCATTGACTGTTGGAAAAGAAAAATCATGATTCTGCTGTACGTTAGTTTGATTAAAAGAACATGTAATTTGTGTCTTAAATTCGTCTGTTAATGTCGCTCTTTTCTTGGGGGGGGGATCTTTTCTGTGAACGAAATTATCCTGAATCCGTGGTATTCTTGTAGGATTTCCTGTGGAGCCGTAGAAATTCCTTCTGGACGTGGTTCACTGAAAAGGCGACGTTGTCTCGACAGGTGTTGGATGTGTTTTTAGTTCCTTAGAAGTATGTATCGTACCTTGGGCATCAGTCAGCTTTCCTTCGAGGAAGCGCTTCTGCTTCGCAGAGAATTTATTCCGTGAGTAAAGAGTTACATTCGTAACTAATTTGTAATGAAATACAGCTGAGACTGGGTTTCATCAGGGAAAGCTCTTGTCTACATTTCGCGAAAAGCCCGGTTTGCATAGAGCGAGGGAAGGGTCAGTATTTGTTCGATGACAAGAATTGTCGCTATCTGGACTGCTTCTCTTCGTACTCTCCAGGTAATATTTCGAATAACACGTATTCATTCCGGGAGTTCATTCAGCTTTCCGTATTTACAGTGGGACACAGTCACCCTGAAGTTGTCGAAGTCGGTCGTAGAGTTTTGAGTTCGTTCCTCTCTCGGAATCCGGCGCAGTTCCGTAGGGATGAGGTCGTCCCACGGAAGCGATCTAAGAGAACGAGTTACGGGGATTTTGATACCCCGAATGAAATATCTGCATTGACAGAAAGGCTTTATGACGAGCTACGGAAGAGGCTTCCTCCGCATTATGATACCATCTACTTCGCGAAGTCTGGGTGAGTTCGGCTACCGAGTCTCTGGACTAACGCGGTATCGGGTTAGTGCCCTACATCTGTTTGATGCCGGTGTTAAACTCGATAAGAAAAGCGCCCTCAAAGGCTATGTGTTGGGATTACGGCATAGGCAGTGCCAACATTTTTGCGCAAGCATATTTGTTGCCGGATTTATGTTCACCGGTACTGGGAGACCATCATTCCCTGCGTCCCTAAAGAATTGTTCCATTATGAAACGTGGCAAGTTGAAGGGAACCAGCGTTAGGAGCCTGATTTCGGCTCGACAAGATGAAGCTGGTAACAGAACTGTCGGCATAAGACAAGGTTCTCATACAAAATCAAAATAGGAATGATTTTTTCAAAATTTTGAGACATAACACCGTCTGCCTCTGATAGACAATGGCGCTTTCGAATAGGGTGAATTTGAGAAGGATACCGATTGAGGAATGGTGTGTTATTTCCGGACAGTGCGGAAGCGAACGATATCGCCGTGTTCCTGGCTAGAGCATACACTAAAGGAGAGGAAACACTGGTCGTCGATGAATCTCATCACGGGGATCTCTCTACCATCGCTGCACTGTCCGCGCGGATGTTCCACCGACATAAACTAAGTTTGTGAACGCTAGTCTTCGAAGAAGTGTATGAATCTGAAGCCTTCCCTTTTCAGTTCCAGAGAAGTGGGTGCATGTGTTGCCAGTTCCTGTCAAGGACTCCCCGGACATGCTGGCAGAGGCCAAGAAGAAGATAGCCGATCTTAAAAGTCAGAACAGAAAACTTTGCTGCTTGCTGTGTGAACCCATCTTCGGTCTCGCCGGAGGTTTCATTCCCACCAGCTCGTGTATGCATTCTGTGGTGGAGCTGGTGAGAGAGAATGGAGGGCTTTGGATCGCAGACGAGATCTTGACTGGTCTTGGTCGTCTTGGTACACATTTCTGGGGCTTCGAATTGCTGAACTCGGCGAGTGACCGGAAATGTTATCCCGATATTCTCACTGTTGGGAAGCCGCTCGGAAATGGGTTTCCAATATCTCTGGTAATCACGTCGTCAAAAATAGCCAGCGCAGCTGGCGATGCTCTTAATCAAGTAAGTTTCACTGAATGCGATACAGTTTCTGGAAATCGTCTGTCAGAGCGTCACTCTCTTCATCTTGGACTTCAATCTTGATCGTCTTCGAGTGTATTTCCCCTCTTGAAAAGATCTGGTCCCTGGTGGAAAAATTTTGGAACCCTGGTGCACGTTGTACAGTATTCCAAGTTTTTCCGTTCGCTGTAGGGCTTACGTAATATGAAAGGGAAATTGTGAATTGCGAATTTCCATATTCTGTATCCTCAGCCTGGTGAGCTTTAAATTGAGCAAAAACTTCGTCTTCTGCTTACACATTGAAGTGCCAGCGAAAGTCTCAAGATTTAAGCGTGCTCTATATTTCTAGGTATGATTTATTTAAGGAATAATATAACAAATTACTCTGTAGCGAAATAGGGTTCAAATACATGAGGAATGGACGTGCCGGGTTTTTATTAAGATGATGCAAAAGATAACTAGGTTGCGATTGTTAATCGTGTTGTGCTTAAATGCGGTATTCTTTTTGTTTTTAAACATAAATGCTTTGACCCGTGCATCAACTCTCAGGATCAGCTTCAGCCAATAAAAGTTGAAATGTGCTTTCTTGATTGATCTTTTTCTAGAGAGATGTATTTTATTTCCATCTTAGCTGAAGAAACCACCTTTGGAAAGCGCAATCGGAGCCGTTGTGTTGGGCATAATCGATCGAGATAAGATGATGGAGTCAGTTGCTAAGGTAGGTGCTGGTCTGAAAGCCAAACTGATCAGTCGCACCAGGAAGCATCATATTCTGGGTGGGTTATTTTCTTCCTGTTCCACACGCGTTTTGGAATCATATATTATATCTATGTCATGTTCTTTAGGAGACGTTCGAGGACAAGGATTGTTAGTGAGCGTCGATGTAGTCACTGACAAAGAATCCCGAATGTGCAATAAAGTTGATGCTCTGCACTTGTGGTACCTGTGAGTATCGTGAGATTTTATTATTTTTCATTTGCTCATTTCGTTCGCCTGCGTGTTTTTTCGTCAAATTTGAGTGCTGTTACCTCTTCTTTAGAAAGCCCAGTGAAGGTTGAGCGTCACTCTCTGAACTCATCTAATCCTTTCCTTCGGTAATTGAGAAGAGTTTCTAATATCTGACTCTGGAAAAATGAACGCCTTCCGACTGAATTAAGAGTTTCCCCTAGTTCTCTGGTGATGAACGTGTTCGAAACATACGCGATTTCGTTCTGAATTAAAACCGTTAGTTGTGAATGTTCATGTGAAAATGAGAGTAAACGAATACACTTTCTGGAATTGTATCACTGTTCTTCTTCATCATTGGAAGATGCCAGCGTCAGTTGAGATGTCTCCGTTTTGAATTTTCTTTTTTCACTTCTGGCACTTCTTATCCCGTTGATCGTGAGATAGATTGTTCAGGTTGTAGTCGTGCCGGATCAATCCTCGGAGTTGGATGTATTTTTTTCGTTTAAAAAGATCACTATTAACATGTTCGAATATTTCAACGACAGGCTGAAAGAGAGAGGAGTGCTTTGTTGCCTCGAGGGACCAGAGAGAAGTTCGTTGATGCTCCAGCCCCCGTTGTGCTTCACTGCGGAAGACGGTGAGGAATTCGTGGACGCCCTTTGTGGATCAGTTGAGGCTATGAGGATGGCATACGCGCCCAAGACGGATCTTCGTTTCAGTCAATTTGGTGATGGCGGGTGAGTTTCTGATATGTTTGAGCGAGTTCCGATACATTGTGCGTGTGCAAGCAGTGGAAGTGTGAGTGGAGAAAAAATTCGATCGTAGAGCAGCTCTGATGTAGTATGCAAGTGCTCCAATTACTGTATATGAAATAATGAGATCAAAGGCTGATCTGGTAATTGAAGACTTGGGTGACTGGATGATTCAAATTATCCGTGTGAACTTGAGGAGATCTATTCTTTGCCTCCTATTATTGGCTGGGACAATCGTGGGATGCAGAAATTAGTAATAAGGACATTTTGAGGCAGCAGAAATCGGAGACCGGGACATTTTCGGGCAAGACTTGTGAAGAAGCATGCAACCGAAGCTCCATCAGTGGTGACACAAGAAATCAAAGCTAGCGATGATTCTGGGAGTCTTCATGTTCTTTGCAAAAATAGGAAACTGCGTTGAAAAATCTTTCGACAGGGAGAAAAGTGCTCTGTATTGAAATAAATTTGAATGAACTGGGCTCCATTCCAGAAGAATGTTCCAATTTTGATGGAGAAGAATGTTTGGGTTATGATTCTGTGGCGGAAGATTCGTGTAGAATTGTCATGTTTGTGCCTTGGAAAGACCGTAAGGTAGATTGCATGGAGCTCCATTAACTTCGGTGTCCAAGTGTGAATCAAAATTGGTCTCCAAATGTTTCTGTCGCAAATTATCCTCGTCTCCGAACGCTTCTCTCTCAAATCATCCTGTATCCAAATGATAGGGATTCTTATTTTGAGCTGTTAATCATTTTTCGCTCCAGTGTCCAATGATGAGTGTCAATAACGTTTCCGTTTTGATTTATTCGCAGTTCCTCGTGTGGCACTTCTTGTAGTTTCGAAGATCGACCTCTACCCCTGAAATCGCGGGTCATTGAAGACTTCGAAGAGTTGGACTGAAAGGAAGGCAGCGGCCTGGATTGGATGTTCCGAAAGATGGTTGTGGGTTCGAATTTTTGACTGTGTTTCCCCTCGGAATTTTGGTTGTTTTACCTGGACGTATCCTTTTTGTGATGAGCGAGAGCTTGGACTGAAATGCAAGGTGTTTTTTTGGAAGCCGGCATTCGTGTCACGTGGTTTTCTGTGAAACTGCGAGGGTTCTCTGAGAGGATATAAGAAAAGCCTTGGCATCAATTTTGCAGGGGTTTTTGATAATGACAGCTTCGGATATGGAAGAAAGTCCTCGGACTGAGACACGAGTGGCATCGAAGCCGGATGCGCAGTGTTACTGGTGAGGAGTTGTGCGCGCGAAACTGACGTTTTGCAACTGTTGGAATGTGCAGAATTTTAATGTTTTTCAGTGCGAAAGGAAGAAACCTGAACTTGATAGAGTTGCAGTGCATGGGATGTTCGAGATGGTTCCACGAATCCTGTATCAGCTATCAAATGGGGAAGCTTGTGCCTTTCATGCTGAACTACACTTTTATGTGTAAAAATTGTTCCGCGACTGGGATCGAAACCTTCAGGAAAACCCAAGCTCGTGGGTTACACTTTTTATTGTGACTTACCTATTTTTAGCTATGTTTCAATGACGATATATTTTTGGGATGCACGACAAAAACGTGTTCTACAGCTTAATCCGATCGCTGTCAAATATCAGAAGGGCGAGTGAGTGAATGATGAATTGAAGATTAATTTAAAAAAAAAACGAGGCAATCAGGTCGTCGACATGCTTTCTTAAATTATGATTTTGATACAATTGTTCAAAGGAGAAGAAAGAATTTTCAGAAAGGCTAATTGCAAAATATGAAGTACCTTGTGTCAGTGTTCATTTTAAAAACTTGCTTTTACGAAATTTCAATTGTTCGTGCTCCTTTCTTCCGATTTACCCCCTTTTTTTTCGGTCAATTTGAACGTCGAAATATTTGAATTCATTCGAGATCCTTCGGTATTTTTCTTCCAGAGTTTTTGCACATTTGTGTGACAGCATTGGCGAACTTGCAGCACAACAGCCAAAGGGAAGGCAGGAGCAGAACGATGTTTTCAAAGGCTAGGGAATTAATTCCGTTCATAGAATCTCACTGGGAATCTTTGACAACTATGTCCCGGAGAAATTCGAATGCTTGGCATCAGTCGGTGAGAGTCTAATTTTCTTTCTCTTTTTTGTTGAATTGAATGCTTTGTTTTTTGTTTTGTTTCAATGAACGTGTTTTTGACTGTTGGATGTTAATGAATGCAGATTCAACGCGCGTTGGTGAAAGAAATCGGAGCAGTTTTCGTGTGTCAAGACCGTGCGAAGGACCCTGAAAACGACGTGGATCCTGTGGGCGATTTGGCGCATCTGGGAGCACTTTACCCCTTGTTTGGCTTGTTTGAAAGTGACTTGACGAAGATTCGACCCCTATACGATTGTGAGTGAGTTGGAGTTCTCCGACCTCTGATTGGAAAACGGAAATTCGCGTTTCTAACATTGAATTTCATTTTTTACGCTTTCGAATGAACTCGTCGACATTTCATCGTTCGCTAATTACTTGGGCAATTCATTTTCATTGGAACTTCATCAGGAGTCGTACTTGAAGAAACCAGCAAAAATCGGGTTTGGAAAGTTTCGAGTCAGGAAAACGAGCATTTTCGTCGAGGGAAAGGAAGGAAAAATGTCAGGAAATCGTTGTGCAGTGATATTCTGGGCATTCAATTGAATTTTAAAATAGTTGACAGTATACTCAACTTTGAGGCTAGGGTTCATCTGCTAAATTGATTATTCGGTACTTTCCTGTTATCTCTGTACCTTCCCTATGACCAATTTAACCTGACCTAACGTAACTTCACCTAACCGCCTCCCAAAATCAGTTTCTGCTTTCTTTGGGTTTCTGCTGAAACTGATTTTGGGAGGCGGTTAGGTAAAGTTTGGTTAGGTCAGGTTATGTTAATTGAAATATATTTGTAACTAACATAACCTGACCTAACCTAACTTTACCTAACCACCTCCCAAAATCAGTTTCAGCAGAATGCAGAAAAATAAAATTCAGTTTCTGGTAGGTTGTTGTGATTATGAACTCATCCTAAAGATTTGTCTGGATGTTAGTGTGGTCTAGGAATGAGGTACAGAGATAAGAGTAAAGTACAAATTATTCATTTCTATTGATTTCAACTCCTGTGTCAATTAAATGACCAAAAGGCCTCGAGGTATTCGAGTTTTGGAGGTTTGACGAGGAAAGCCTTTGAGTTGGAAAGGTTCTTGATGCATTGTTTCCAAGGAAATTCAAAAAGACTTGAAAAACAAAATTTGACATCGGAGGGTATTCGACTTCACGAGGTTCAACTCTTACTTGAAACTCAAATTCTAGTTGCCCCATTTCACGCCGGATCCATTTCTAAGTTGATAATATTTTTCGAATGAATGTCAGTGGAAAAGATCAAAGTCCTTTACCGAGAAACCCTACTGTATTCACTTTCGTTTCAACAGTTGAAACTGGACTCGGTATTTTTTTTGTCGTGATCAACTCCCCATTTTTTTTTTTCGTGTTATCTGATATTACCTCTGTTTTGATTTTTAGCACACACGGGAAGTGCCAAAGGGCGTGGCACGAAACGTAAGCTGATCGTGTCAGACGGGGGAAGTGCTTCGCAAGCGATTGCGAAGAAGCTGAAGGGCGGCGATGGAGCTTTTGCACGACTCGCCCCCCACGGATACCCGATCGATCATCCCTTCAACAAGGACGTGTATCGTTACACGTTGGCTGAACCGGATCCTCATGCTCCTTTCAGGTTAGTTCTGAATGATGCTCGGAATTTGATATGATTGTGCATCAGGTTGGTCTATCGGGTTCCGAATGGACCTCTGATTATTCTCATTCTTTTATCCCCCTTGTATGTTCGTGGGTTCTGGTTTCTAGATGCGTGAGGATTAATCTTGTGAATAACATTGGGGGGCCCCGAGATGTGGATGTGAATGCTGCTTGGCCCGTTTTTCCTTATTTTTGGAGCAACCGAATGTCATATTACCTTTTTCTTGTAGATTTCAATGGGAACATGTGCTATTGGTTTCCCTGTTCATAGAAAATCAGGAATAAAGTCCCCGAACGATTGAATAATTTTTTTTCTCAACTTCAAAATGCAGAAAATAACTGCGCAGAACAGAATCTAATCTTTTGACATCAGTTCTCAAGAAGTGAAAAATATGATAAAAGAAGTTCTGAAAGAAGAAGCCAAAAAATTAGCTTTTTTTCATTATGAATTGAAGCAATTTTATGATTTATTTTTAATTAAAAAAATATAAATAGCTGTTTGTTCAAGGGACGTGAAAATTTGGGGAAAATTATTTTTCTAGAAATGGAAAATTGTCCGTATCTCGAGCCATTGTCTGGATTTCGGGCCAGATGTTTCGGGTGTCCCTTAGTCGAATCGTCCGCATGTTGGGGCCCCACTGTATCTGTGTTATTTCAAGGCTACAATATTTCGTTACCCTGTTCACCTTTGTTACTTTGTGCTATTTCTATTTTTTTGTTTAAGAAATATCGGAGATATTTTTATTCCTCCTTTTGATCCCATGGGAAAAGCCACTCAGCGGGGGCTGTGATGTATTAGATTTATTCTTGGGGCGAGATAAGGAAGCTCTCTGGAAAGTGGAACTGCATTGCTTCCCATGGAGAATTCATTGGAAGTCTAAATTTACGGTAATTTCATTTGTGAAATGCGAACCGAATATTGAGTGGGTAGACTTGGATAAATTTCTGCCTAGGCTTTTCCTAGAAATGATCAAATTATGTAATGTTGAAGAAGGGCATGTGTTCATCTGAACTCTTTGGAGTATGCTGAGTAGGATTGCGGTAATTTTTTTTTTATAGGAAAAATGAAATCTGTAATAATTGATTGAGAAAGGTGTAAATATACCCGTTCCACTCGGTAATTTATTTGTAGCTTAATGCGTCAAACTGCATGAATGAACTGAAAACTACGACTGAGTTAGAGTTTCCATCAGTCTAGAAACGGTGAAAACTGTACTTGCTAGCTTCTGAGAAAACCGAACCCGAGGAACCCTCATCCTAATTGTATGTACTGATGAAACAGTGTACCCGTATTCACACACCCTCGAGTAAGGCGCTCAACTTTTTTTTTTCGCATAAAATTTGCACAAAGATTTATCCCCGCATGACTTGCGCATCACAGTTTTACGTGCTTGAAGATCGTTCGTTCTTGTTCAAATAATAATGTCGAAAAAAATAATCCCATGAATTCGTATAATTACTGTACAGTAATTGGTACATGATCTCATGAAGTACCTTGACTGGATTTGCGCCAAACAAACTTCCCTGTTCATTATTCGAACCTAGGAAGAAGGAATTATGGCTCGCAGCACTAATATAATCTTTTGCTTCAGAAAAGTGTATACCGCACTCGCATTCCAAATTTCTGCCTTTAATATTTCAGAAGAAGAGCTTCGCGTTGTTTAATAGTGTGGTAATTGATAATTTTACCGCCTTCCTGCGTACAAATTAGTTAATTAAAAAATGTTGCTTCCAGGCAAGAATTTGACGAATGTTTGGAGTCTGCCGGGAAGCAAATTCCGCCATGGCTGTACCGTGTTGTGACTCCTCCGACGGTGTTGTTGGCTATGCACGATCGAGCGCCGCAATTGAAAATCGGTGACCATCGGATGACTGTGACTGGGGAGAAGGGCTATTGCATGGTTAGAGCCACTCATGGTGAGTTTATCAATAGCTCCTTATTGGGTTTCGAAATTTGAGTCTTTTTCGATCTGAACGTTGCACTGTTGTTTCTAGACTTTACAGTGAGACCCCGAGATGCGGACATAATTGGTGCATCAAGAGTGTCCCTAAGTCGAGTCTTGTTTTCCCTTAGACTGACATTGTATAATTTTTAATTGGTGTTTTATGGAAGAAATATTCTTCAGAATTCCCTGNGATGCGGACATAATTGGTGCATCAAGAGTGTCCCTATGTTGAATTGTCCCTAATTTGAGTCTTGTTTTCTCTTAGACTTACATTATATAATTTTTAATTGGTGCTTTATGAAACAAATATTCTTCCAAATTCCCTGAAAAAAATTGTTTGCCATTTGAATTTGAATTAATGAATACATTTTCAACTCAATAAGAACATTTGGAGCATTGAATAGTGTATCTTGGTACTGGACATTTAAATGTTGGCATCCGCAAAAATAAAATTCAAGTGTGAAAAAAAGTAGGAGTCCTTCTATGCTGGAGGTAATTCATCAAAATTAGCTAAATTGATGGTAAATTGGTGAAAGAAATGCCCAAGACCTTTTCTTGCATCAATTTTTGGGTTGGAAATATCTGTTTCTTGTAATTTGGTCTGAAATTTATTTGCAATTTTATCACAAAAGTAAACAATCTTGTTCAACATCCACGGCAAACACACGAGCAAATAGGGCGTAATCCCGGGTTTTGCGTTAGAAGATCACAAAGGAANAATTTTATCACAAAATGTCCCTATGTTGAGTCAGTGTCCTCATGTCAGGCCTTTTTTATTAATTTTTTCTGGGAAAATAAGTGTCCCTATGTCGAATTGTCCGCAGGTTGAGGTGTCTGCATGTGGGGGTCTCACTGTACTTATACTTCAGTACAATTAATTTTGGATTACAGTGAGATGTTTGCGCAAGAAGAAGCGATTCTGTTGCATTTTAAATTATGCATTACTGAATAGTTGAACCTCTTCAAAGTCAAATTCCTTGGGACCAGGAAAAAAAAGGACTTGTGAGAGGTTTTCAGTCATGGAAACTTACCATTTTTGCCTTCAAAAAAGAAGACCTTCTTCAGAACCATTGATATTACTGTACTTGGTACCAAATCATTGATGTGTATTGAAATGAAGGCAATTTTTTAATGCACTGTTCATTTCAAAGAAAGGCGTACTTTCTAAAATGGAGCTGAAGAATTTCCAAGAAATGTTAGATTTTGCGAATTTTTGGAACACCAATAAGTTTTCTCTGCAGAAAATTTTTTAAAATGAATTTGGCATGCTGTATGTTTAAAATATTTCCAAGTTCTCTGCCGTTTATTAAGAATTTGTATGATCCCTATATAGCCTATGAACAGAATCATGGCCAAAAATTCGTTATAATGAGATTCTAGCCTAAATTAAGTTTGTTGAAATGAGATTTTTATAACATTGTGCCTACGGAAACCTGCCAGGAATAAGAGAAAAATTCGTTGCAATGAAAAATTCGATATAACGAGATTCGTTGTAATGAATAATTCGTTGTAATAAGATTTTACTGTATTCTGATTTGCATCCAGTTACCAGAAAGCCCCAAGATGAGACATGCAGATCAAATTCGGACGATATCTTTTCGATAGAAAAAAAAAGAAACTCAAACGCAGAGTCAGAGAGTTTCATTTCCGGATTCATTTTTCATTATGGAAATATATCGAGTCAACCTAGGCTCTTATTATTTATTTATTTTTTGCAGGCGTTTCACACGGTACGTGGTATTTTGAATGTACCATCGTGGAGATGCCGGATAACAGTGCGACGAGAATAGGTTGGGCACAGGCGTATGCCAATTTGCAAGCACCGTTGGGGTACGACAAGTTTGGTTATTCCTATCGGTCGAGGTACGTTTTGCTTTTTCTGTGTATATGATTTTGTGAGCAACGTATCTTAATCAGTACGATTCATTTTCCTTTTTCAGGAAAGGGACAAAATTTCACGAATCCAATGGTTATCATTACGGGGAGGGGTATGAGAAAGGAGACACGATCGGGATGTTGATCGAGTTGCCGCAGAATAAACCCATTAGTTCGTATCTGCCGAATACGTGCAAAGGAAAAGTGAGTTTGTTTCAATCAGTGATTCGTGTTTATTCATTTTTTTTATGAAGTGGGATGTGGAAATTAAATGAATATTTTCAAGGATGGACTCCTACGAAAATCATAGGGGCTGTAAAAATTCGTCCTAGAGAGAATTTCGTCGCAGAGGACCCCTACAACATGGTGGGAAAACCCCATGGAATCCGAGAAATTCGTTTTACAGACAAAATCTTTGTAGAGAGTTCATCTGTGTATCATTGGTTTTCGGGAAACAACTCATTCAGGGATAAAAAGGAATCAACTCGCATTTTAAAAATCTTCTTGATGACGACGTGACAATTCAGTGAGACCCCCACATGCGGACAACTCGACCTGAGGACAATTCAACATATAGAGACACTTTTTTTCCCAGAAAAAAATCAGTAAATAAGGCCCAACAGGAGGACACTGACTCAACATAGAGACATTTTGTGATAACATTGCAAATACACTTCAGGCCAAATTATCAGGAACATTTATTTCCAACCATGAAATTGATGTAAGAAAAGCTTTTGGGCATTTCTCACACCATTTTACCACCCATTTAGCAAATTTTAAAAAATTACCTGAAGCATAGAGGGTTTTCTACTTTTTTCACTTAAAAAGTTATTTTTGTACATGCCAACATTTCAATGTACAGTACAGAGATACACTATTCAATGCTCCAAATGTTCTTATTGAGTTGAAAATGTATTCACTATAATTCAAATTCAAGTGGCAAATTTTTTTCAAGGAATTTGGAAGAATATTTGTTTCATAAAGCACCAATTAAAAATTATATAATGTAAGTCTAAGAGAAAACAAGACTCAAATTAGGGACAATTCAACATAGGGACACTCTTGATGCACCAATTATGTCCGCATCTTGGGTCTCACTGTAATCATTTTTAAAAATTGAAAAATAAAGCTCTGAGAAGCATTATGCTAGTCATGTTGAACATCACGTTTGCCCTGAGAAGGAAAACATTCTAAAACGAATAATAAGGTCGAATTTCATGGATTCCCTAGTTTGGAGAATCCTGACCTCACTGTTCATACATTCCTTGTTCTACTGTTTTCCTGACCATTCTCTGTCGTTGCTTTTTCAGGCCTTGGTGAGGTTCAAGAACCACCTGTACTTCGAAGAAAAGGACGATTTGAAGGCCATCACGAATAACCTCACTCCTCTGAAGGGCAGTAAAATCTCCTTCTTCAAGAACGGCGTGTCGCAGCGAGTGGCCTTTGACAATATTTTCGAAGGGCTTTATATTCCGGCGATTTCCTTATACAAATCTGCGTCCGTGACCGTCAACTTCGGACCGAATTTCAAACATCCTCCAGAAGCAGATTTCAAGCCCCTGAGTGCGAGGGCTGAAGAAGCTGTGACTGAGCACACGATGGCGGACTTGTTGTTTCTAACTGAAAACCACGGAAAGCTTTCTTTGGATATGGTGTGAATTTTTGCCTTTTGTTCCAAGTGATAATTTGTCCGGGATAGATTTATCTTCGTTTCTTCATCGTTGATTTTCGAACTGTTTTGTGGAGTACTTAGAGCTGCTGGAGGGAAAGAAAATTATGAAAGGGATGAAATTACAGTCGAACCTCTTTAAATTGAACGTGAAGAGAGGAGCAAAGAAATTTGAGTTACGGAGGATTTTGAGTTGGATAATTAAGAATTTTTGCCAGGGAAATAAAGAAGAATTACAGGAAATTTTAATTGGTGATATTCTCAGCCTTAAATTACTTCTTGAGTGAGTTGAGAGGATGCTGAACTGGGAGGCAAGGGTTCATTTACCTAAATAGTCTACTTTCTTTCAAAAAGTATAAACTTATTGATTTTTCTTTACTGTGCCAATAAAATAATAACCAAAAAGGCCTCTAGAAAATTTGATTTATTGAGTTTTGAAGATGAAAGCCTCTTTTAGGTAGGGAATTTTTTTAATGCATTGTTTTTAAAGAAATCCAGGCAGGGGCTGGAATAAAGTACTGTACCTGTAGTGTGCGAGGTACTTGAGTTAATGCAGTGATCAAAGCAGTTATTTACAAAGTTTGTTTCTTTGTGTTCAGACAAGTTGCTCCTTCAGTTTGGGATTTATAATTTTTTTCTCACTATGCATGTGTGTCATTGGGAGTGTCAAATCGGATTCTGCAGCCAAGAATTTCAGTTGAACGCGTTTCAAATTCATTTTCATGTTGAGCCCGGATTTTTCCACCGAAAAGTTCTTTCCTTTGTGATCTTCTAACGCAAAACCCGGGATTACGCCCTATTTGCTCGTGTGTTTGCCGTGGATGTTGAACAAGATTGTTTACTTTTGTATTTATTTAATAGGTTTCCTCATTTTTGATGGGAATGTCTTGGAATGATACATTTTCTTTGTTTTCTTCTTCTGAATAGGATCGGTATTTTTTAAATTTTAGCCGATCGGTAAATTTAATTTGAGATGGCGGGTTTTGTGAGGACAATTGTACCGCTGGGTGTTTTCGCAACGACGTTTCTAGTGCAGTTGGTCAAGGCTCAGGACTCCTACGAATCGCTTCTTTATGACAATCGCAAATTCAGCGAGAATGTCCCTGAAAAGGCTCACTTCATACTCTTCTTCGCACCTTGGTGAGTTTACTGAATGCGATGAAACGTTGATTCCGATCTCATTGTCATTTCGATGTCTGGGAATTGAATGTAAATTCCTTTTTTTTTTCTGCGCAAGTGTGATGGAAAATTACTTTCCAATTTTCAAACGGAAAACTTTTTCATGCACTGGATATCGTATTCGAAAAGTCAGTGCTTGGTATTGTACTGAATCGTTCGTGAAAGGCTGAATGATGCGTGAAACAATGGCTGTCCACTTTCCGAGAATTAGATGTTCTGTGTATTGTTGCTTTTCGGAAAGTGAACAATATTTCTCGAGAAAATTTAGCAATACTGTACCTGTACCGTATTTTTGCACGGTGAAAAAGGAAATCATTTTCTTTAATTTCAAAATCCGTTATCTAATAAATGCTGTAATGCTAGAAATTTTGTAGAACCCCGAAGTATTTCCGACCAACAAAAAAATGCGTTCATCATTCTCGTGCTGAGTATGATGAGTTTAATCATGACTTTCGTTTCCCTGGTAATGAGACTGTTTATTTATTTTTCCCGATAGATGTTAAACGGTTTCTCGTAAAATACATTGTGGCTTATTTTCTGGTTTCTCTTTTTAGGGTGGAATGAGGAATTCCGTTTCAATTGGTCGGGTGGACTCTCTCCAACGAAATTCAGGGGATTTGAAAGACCTTCGTTGTAGGAAGAATTTCATTGTTGAGAATTCCGGTAAATTCACTGGGACCGAATAAAAATGCGTCATACCGAGAAAATCGTTCTAGAAAGATTCTACATGTATTCGTTAGATCAATGATCTCTTGATTGAATGATTATTGGCTCAAGTACCTGATTATTTGTGACCTCTGGTGGTCCGTAACCAATTGCAGTGAATTGCTCACGTTCAAAAATCCTTTTTTTTTTTCTTTTTTTTTTTCATTTTGCGTTCGGGCTCATGCGCTGATTCTTTAAAATTGAGCTGCAGTTTGATGTGTGAATAATGTCGTAATTTGGGAGAAAAGCCGCAGATTTTGAAATTTCAATTGCTGTAAAAGCGTGTTTTAATTTTTCAACTGGCGTTCGGACTCCTTGCGTTTATTTGTTGTGGGTTCAAAAATGGTTATACGGTATTGTACGTTCATTCGCAGGTGTGGACATTGCAAAAGACTGATGCCGACTTGGGAAGATCTGCATGCCAAATACAATAGCTTGGGTGAAGCGGTTCCGGTGACTGTTGCCAGGGTGGACTGTACCCAGGAATCTGCTTTGTGCTCTGCCCAAGGCGTCACTGGTTACCCGACGTGAGATTCCAATTTTTTTGCATTACTCATTTTTATTTGGAAATTTTAAAAAGAGTTTCACGGTGTTTTTCGGTTCCATTTATCGTGAGGCAATTTTAGATTCACACCTGAAACACGCCGCAGCTGTTCTTTTTAAACAACATTTGAAGAGATGAATATCTGTAATGGTGGCTTAACCGAGATTTAGATTGTAGAGATGAGGACAGCAACACACACACACAGATAGCTAGAAACAGAACGTTTCCAAATCCTCTCAAGAGTTGACACTTCCCCTGATGTGGGAAACCTGTTTTTGTTAGCTATTTTTTGAGCCTTTTAGTAACAATAAATTTCATTAGAGCTCTGCTCTTTGATGCATCACTAGTGGGACTCCGTTCCTTTACAGTAAAATTGGGAAAAATAGAACTTCGCTAAAAACAGGAAACACAGAACAAGAAATATGTGGCAAAAATATTTCTGCGCACTTCCCCTGCAATCCAGATAATAATGTTGCAGGACAAAAGGCAGCATAAATGCGTTAGTTTGTGCATCACCAGAGCACCTTTTCTTCTGATGTCCAGCATTTCATACTGATGGAAACAAGCTTAAGAAAGATTTACAAGTATTGGAATTCAATGAAGAGACTCTTTCTGAAATCTTGAAGGGTCAAGATAAACTGTTGGCCTTATATGGTTTCTCATCAAAGATTCTCTCTAATTTGTTTATTCAAATAAACCTCATACAGAAACAAGCTGAAGGACCTTGTGCTTTAAATTAATTTTTACATATATTTTGTTTCCAATGTCAGGGAATGCATGGGTGTATGCATACATGTCAGATGTCCAGTTGTATATCATGCATTGTATTTTCTTTCATTTTTGTTATCACTTTGTGCTCTGTTTCCTGCTCTGAAGTGATTGAATGTCATTGAGTGGATTTGGGTTGGGTGGGAAAGGGGGTTTGGTTGTGGAAATCTTGATTGAACCTTGTGAATGCTGAAAAGCAGCAAATCAAGTGTTCTGTTCATTCATTCATTAACAAAAGGCACAGAAAGAAAAATTGCGCGTTGCTTTGCTGATTAAATCAGCATTTCTTTGGTGCTTGCAGCGCCAAATAAAATATAAAATAAACTGGCGCATGTAAGAAAAAGCCATGGTTGCCAACCTATCAGTAAATTTATATACATGCATCAACAAATATTGGAATGTGTGTCCATCAGCTCCCAGATTTTTTATAGAGATTTTACCATCTGTGAGAGATCAAAATATTTATTTGAAATTGCGGTATGCTGAAGAAAATTATTGAGGCAGTAAACTAAATTATTCAAAGTCCTGATACAGAGTCCAGTTTTAAAGATATAATTCTGCCTTTTCAACGTGACATTTTCACCAGTTTCAGAAAACTTCTCCAAACATATTCTCTGTTCAGTATTTCTAACAGGCGCAAAATTTTCTTGAACAACCTGCTGAGAGCGGAACTACAGAAAATTTAAATTTTCGTATGCTTTATTTTAGGTTTTGACGCTTTGGAAGGGAAAAAAGATGACATATTTTTGCCAGAAAAACCTCAACTTACTGGTGCTGAATTGAAAAGCTCATTCCTAGATTTCAAGACATTGCGGATGTTCCAAAAACTCACTTCGCTGAAATTCGCCCATTTCAGAGAATCTGCGGAACGTAATTACTTTACTTTAATTGTAATTGAATGGAAAAAAAATTGTCAACGACCTGCTGAGAGCAAAACTGCAGAAAATTTAAATTTTCCTATTTTAGCTTTGACGCTTGAGAAGGAAAGAGACATTTTTGTCGCCGGGTAAATTTCAACTTTCTGGTGCTGAATGAAGAGATTATCCAAATTGGAATTTCATTCTCATGGGGTTTCAAGATCTTGCTGAGTTTGACGAAGCCTTTTTTTTTTTTAATCTTTTCCAGAATGAAGCTGTTTACCCCAAAGAACACGGAAGGAATCAAGTACCGTGGCCAGCGAGACCTGAACTCACTCGAAATGTGGCTTAAGGAGCAGCTCGGGTCGGACGTCAAAGTGAGCCGATTCTTCCTGGGGTTCTTTGACGCAGTCGCTGAGAGATACTCTGACCTTCTGATTATTTTATCGCTTTCTTCCGCTTATTATCTCGCCTACTTCCGGCGTTAACTCTCTCTCTCTCTCACTCTCGAAGAACTCATTTTTTTTAAAGTTTTAAGACAATGTTGAATTGCTGTTTCCTGCGTGTTTCGTTGTTTGAAATAATGCGGTCCTTCGGGCGGGGGTTTAGTTCGACTTGAAAGCGGAGCTGCCGGTGGTGACCAAGTCTGGAGCGGTTTCGCTGACGTCGGAGAATTATCATCAGACAGTCAAGTCCGGGATTCATTTTGTCAAGTTTTATGCACCTTGGTGCTCTCATTGTCAGCGACTCGCGCCGGTTTGGGACGATTTGGCGAGGAGTTTGGAATTTGATGACAAGGTCAACATTGCCAAGGTTGATTGCACGGAGAGCAACGAAATCTGTCAGAGCGTCAATGTGAAGGGTTATCCGACGTTGGCGGTGATCAAGGATGGGAGAGTGGTGAGGCGTGAATTGATTTGTCTGGAAGGGTTTTTACGATGTAAACGGTATTTTTTTATGATTTCGAGATGATTTGAACGCTTTTTTTTTCCAGTACAGTACTTTACTTTGATTCGGAATTTAGTGGCAAAGTTACGAGATCAATTCATTTTTGGATCAGCGGGGAAACGAACTTTTCGAGCGAGTTTTTGGTCCGTTTGTTGAGGATTTTCTTCAGCTTTTAGTCCTCACTTCGGCTTCTGATTGTTGAGCAATTAAAAATTTTTTTTTTGGCGAACTTCGCACTCTGCGTTACGAACGCAAGCTCTTCCGAATTTTCACATTTTTGATCTCGAAGATTGGAACATGCTTTCATTTGATGTGGTTTTTGGGTCTAGTAATTCGTTAGGAAGAAGTTTTTCCAATTTTTGTTGGTAATATTCTGTGTGGCTTAGGCTTAGGTGACTGATTCGTTGGTTTTGCGAGTCTGATAAGAATATAAAGTACTTACGATTTTTATTCTTTTTTTTAAATTTCAGCCTGGTTGAGCCAAAATTTGCGACAATGATGAGGATTAAATCATTATTCAATTAGTAGAAACTCGTTAGAACAAAGCGTTTTGGACGCTACGAAAGCTTCGTTATAAATGAAAATTCGTAGAAACGAAATGTAAATAACTTTGTGGCTCTTGGACAGGGAAAAGAAATCAAAATTGTGTGTAAGCATTAATTCGTTATAAAGAGATTCGTTGTAACGAGATTCTATTGTATTTGCAGTATATTTACTGTGTTCTTATTTACGGTCAAGTTTCCAAAAGCCACCACCATTTTTTTGTGAGGTTTGTGGCAGGGTTTCGTGTTTTGAATAATGAATTATTGGTTTATCAAAAATCCGAAAGAATACGAAAATCATTTATATTTTGAATTACAATTCTCATTCCTCTAAAAAATATTAATTGAAGTAACCCATGGGATGTATGAATTATATCCGATTAAAGTTCCCAAGAAATGAATCATGACATCGACGCTTATTTTTTTTTTTTAATCGGAGAACTATCAAAGGAACTTGAATCATTTTGGCGGGATATCAAAGACAAAATAAATTGGCAGGAGCTCGTTTAATTTACAAAATTTTGGCAAATGATGTTTTAACTGGGTTTCAAATGTTATTATTCTTGGGGGGGAAAAACTTGTTCTACAAATAAATTGGCAGTTACCGTGGGTGACGGCTTATCAGGGTCGTTGAAAAATGTATGAATCTGCCTTCCCACGCTTTTATTGCTCGAGATTATTTGAAATACATGACCGTGGAATTGAACTGTTTCAGGTTGAAAGCTACAACGGAGAAAGGACTTTGGACATGCTGAAGGCGTTTGTGGATGAAATGCGAGAGAAGTTGTTGACCATCCCGGGCCGTGGTATCCCGTTGTCCGATGAAATGGTGCTGAAAGCCATGCCTTCGGAAATACCGGCTGTTCCTAAGGACTCCGTGGTAGTGGAATTGTCTGCTGCGAATTTTGAAAACGCTGTTGGCACTGGTGTAGCTTTTGTCAAGTTCTATGCTCCTTGGTGAGTTCATGCTTTCAATTTCTGTCTGAAGCTGACGCCTCAGCCAACGAATGTTTTTAATGTAATAAACCTGGGTTCTGTCGCTATTTCGCCCGGAGAAACGAACTTGACCCGATCAAAACCTGTGATCTAATAAAAAAAAGGAGTAAATGCCCTTAAAATGTTATTTAAATGTCTGAAATGGAGAGAATTTCGTGTTTTCATTACAGTACATTCCCAACTGGGAAACGAAAGACGTAATAAAAATTGTAATTCAACAGAAAATTGAAATCCGGAGGGAATTTTAATGTTTTTTTCTTTCTAATGTTGCATAGTTTCAATAATTTTAAATTACAATTCATTGCTGTGATAACTGCGGTGTTTCTTTTTCTTCTTGCCTGTTCTTGAACGTTTCATGCTCATTTTTTTAATTTTACAGTTGTACATTTTCACACTGGGACCAATTGAATGATTTTTCTTGAGATTACTGAAGGACATTTTGCCATGCGTGAAAAATGCCTCAAGCGAAAAGCCAACCCCTGGAACAGATTAGGTTTGATGCTGAAGGCCCCACTGTATTTTACAGTGGGGTCTCAGCTTACACACTTAATGGGTTCCTGAACGAAGTTGGTTGGCTGAATAGTTAGTAAGCTGAGTCACATTTTCCCTTGAGAAAGTATAGGAATCATTTTAATTTATTCCAGAACCTTGAAAATACCCATGAAATTCAAGAAAATGCATCCTAAAAAATGTTCAGATCTAAAATCCATTAAATCTTCCCAAGACAATATTCAAGAAACTCACTGCAGTAAAACAATCCATGCAAGTGCAATTTTCAAGTGAGTTTCTCAAGAGGTTTCTTCTTGGAAATTTTTAATACAACACCAAAAACTTATTCACAGGCTAAGGACTTAAGGATGGAACATTGGAATGCTAAAAAGCTGTTGAATTTTAACCCAATTAGAATGAAGAAAAAAATTGGTGATCAAGAATTGGTCACTGAACTTTTGAGACATTCTTAGATGAATTAATGAATAAGTTTAGGCATGAATTCCTTGATTTTGCTGAAGAATTGTTTTTAGACCCGTGAGCATTTGGAGAACTCAAAGTTTGTGAGCCAAGTCATGGTTTGTTAACTGGGGCAGCTGAGGCTTAAGACAAAAGTTTGTTAGCTGGGGCATCTTTAAGCTGAGACCCGTCTGTATTCCGCCTCCATGGAATATTTTTTTCAATTTGACTGCTAGCGTCATGACGTGTGAGAATCTCTGAGGAGAAAATTGCTCATTTTCTGCAATAATTGTATTAGGAAAAGCAGCGAAGAACTAATGAATGAGCTTGTGTTTGTGTTTGGATTCTTTGTGGACTCAAAGTTCGTTCTGCGAAACCGTCTCATCTGTCGTCTTTGACCTTTTTTTTCTCCCCTCAGGTGTGGGCACTGCAAGAGGCTAGCCCCGACGTGGGACGATCTCGCCAAGAAATTCTTGGGACAAGGGAACGTGAGGATCTGCAAAGTGGATTGCACCGAACAAAAATCCCTGTGTGACCTGCAAGAGGTCGAGGGTTACCCGACCATGCTTTTGTACAAGGACGGTAAGAAGGTGAAAGAGTACGATGACAAACGCGATCTGGACTCGTTGTACCAAGCTGTGTCTCAATTGCTCAAGGACGAGCTTTGATCGAGGTTTGGGAGAAAAAAGTAGTCCCGACTCATCTCGTTTACGAGGATTTTTTGGATGAAAGTGACGCGTTGTTTTATTCTCAAATATGTATCTGTGTGTGTGAGAGTGTGAGTTTATGAAAAGTTGAGTCGATGCGTGTAACTCTCCCCATTTTCTTTATTTGTTTGAGCGAACACTCGCATTTGTTTTGTTGTTCTGTTATTTGTCTTCCTTTTCGAAGCGGCATTATGTGGGTTTCAGGAGACGGATTGGACTTCAGTCCTGCTTTTGATCGAGGTTCAGCTTGTTCTGGTCAAACGTTGAACGGAAACCGAGGTCGAATCGCTTTGAAGTACCTGTGCTCGCGTCGTTTTTTGTTTTTACTACAGTATTTAGAAGTTTTGTCTAGGATTCAAAGTCAAAATACGACTGGACTTGGGTAGATTCAATTATCATTAGTTGGGTATTTCGTCCTCCTTATTCGATGTAACCCTGTCCCCGATCCCAGGTTTAGCTTTGCAAGGCACGAAAACTGCGACAGATCTGATTGTCGGATGTTATGCATATCAGAAGAGGGATTTTCAGAGCAGAAAATTCTTGGTTGGGTATTATACATCTTTTGGATGCACAAATGGAATTTTACCAGCTGTTGTTTCATTCGTGCTTTTCAACTTTATTCTCGAGGTGGAATATGATAGGGGTTGTCCATTTTCCGCGCGACGTCAGAGTGGAAGCTCTCCTGAATCCGTTTTTCTCGTCTGTTCAAATGTTTAGAACCATTTAAATTTATTTTGCTTCGGTACGGAAGACGTGGGACCGTTTTCTAAAGAATTCTGTTCTCGTTTTCTGAAAACATCACGAGGAACTGTGCCATTGCGCATGAATTCAGGAGGTGGAAAATGATTTTGAGAAAAAGTAGGGCTGGTGAATTTTATCTGGTTTTCTCGGCGTAAGAGAAATTGCACCTGTACTTCATAATCCTTTATTCGTGATTTCGAATGAATTATTTTTTGTTGAGATACATACTTCACTCGGTATGGAAACCGAAAGATCCGTCGAGACATGATATGATCAATTCCCACCCGAAATCCCTGTAGTTTTTCTGTTCCTTGGCGAAATCTCGTTCCGTGTCCGTGTGTGCGATCAACTGAATTAGGCAGGAAATCCGTGTTGTTTTGAATTGACCCTCGTTGGGATCTCGGGCAGCTCGTGATTTTTGGGGGGTTTTGGCCTGGTTCGGCGAAAGGAGCTCTTTTGCTGTGATCCTGTTCGGTTTTAGATGAAATGCACTGCCTGTTAGGGGTTGGCAGCTCGGGTGTTGATTATTTTTTTTCGAGGGTCTTCTCTGTTATCGTTTGTGTTTTCGTGTGTAGGTGTCGCCTGAATTTCACGTTGTTCTGTTTTGTATTGAAGGCTGTATCTTTGCTCTTCTTCAACTTGATTGTCTGTTGCCCAGATTTAGGGTTAGGGTACGATAAAGGCTGTATCTTCACGAATGTGCAGGCAAACGTCAATTTGCCGCCATCATTTGTTTCTGTGGTTTGTAAAAGCGCAAAAATGATGTTAAATCAAGTACTGTATGCAGTTGAACCTCTCTAATTTTTTCCTGGTCCCTAGAAATTCAACTTGAGGAGGTATTTATTTTTGGAGGTTTTTGAGTTAAGGAAAGGAAAATTTTTGGTGCAAAAAAAAGTAAAAAATTGCAGGAAATTGTAAATGGGGATATTCTGGGCCTAAAATTGCTTCTTAATGAGTTTACGTTTTGCTAAGCTTGGAGGCAGGGGTTCATTCATTCAATTAGTCTTTTGCTTCATTTCAAGATGCATAAAATCATTTGTTTTATTGATTTCTCTCTTTCATATTTCAAGGAAATAATAACAAAACGGCCTTAGAAAATTTGACTTGAAGAGGTTTGAGAGAAGAAGACTGACTAAGGAAGGTTTTTAATGCATTGTTTTAAGGGAATCCAAATGGGGACTGTAAAAAATTTTGAGTTAGGGCGGTATTTGACTAGAGATTTGACTTATCAGCGCTCAATATAATTTATATTCTTGTAGTAAACAATCAGAATAACCCTGGGTACCTTGAATTACATCTAGATAATGTTCCCAAGAAGTTAATTGGGTTTCTCTTTCATTGAAGATCTTTCACAGAAACAAGAATAATTTTGGTAGGGTATCCTAGACAAAATCAATTGGCCCAAGCATATTTGAGTTAATAATTTTGGTGGTTGCCGTTTTGATGGGTTTTACGATGTCTTTCTCAGTTTTGAAGATCTCTTAATCAGGATGGATCGACAGTTGTCAAGGGTAGCTGTTTTTTTTGGGGTGGATCAACAAGGATTGGCTGTTTTGAATTCAAAATAATGAAGCAGTTGAACTTGAAATTATATTGGCCATTCAAAGGATCCAACTTTGATCTGATTGATTGAGCAATAAATTCGATTTTGAGATTGAGGCGACATCTATTCCGGAATCACACAACCCTGACCGGGTGTTGAACAGAGAAGTGCTTTCGGTTATTCTAGTCATTTTATGCGCATGGTATGAGTTTTACTGTTCCGTTTCCAGGCCGAAAGCTGAGTAGACATGACTTCGGAACAGGATGCAGAGGTGAAAACTCAGGGTGAGTTTATTCTTCGTTTTTTTTTCATCTTGGAAAATGTTCCGTTTATTCACAAGAATTCACATGCATGTGACAGAAATAATGTTGGAGGCGTTGCGGAAGAACGGAGCTGTGGATTTCCGTCTGCCCTGGAAAGACCTGAAGGGCAGGAACCCCATGGACGACGTCAACGAGCAAATCGACCAATGGAACCCGCAATTGAGTGGAACCGGGACACACGTTGACGAAGTCGAGCGAGATGCCGAATTTGAGCTCGTCAAACGAAGCATGGAACCTTTGGAGGGCGTCGAAGGGATCTACAAGCGAATTACCAAGGTTCAAATCTTTTCCCAAGAATAGTAACATTGGAAACCCTGTTGAAACGCTATACGCCATAATTTTTTTTAAACGAAATTATGCCCCTGCGAATCAATTTCGTCTTTGATACCCCGCCGACGTAGTTGAAGTTTCTGTGAGAGGTTTAAAAAAAACACGAAGATGACATAATTTACTTCTTTGGAACATTATTTTGATGTGATTCAAGTATCCCAGGGCGATTGTTTTCCAGCATAATAAGATTTTTATTTCGTATTATACTTGATTTTCATATTATACTTTATTTTCATATTATACTTTATTTTCATATTATACTTGATTTTCATGTTATACTTGATTTTCATATTATACTTGATTTTCATGTTATACTTGATTTTCATATTATACTTCATTTTCATATACTTGATTTTCATGTTATACTTGATTTTCATGTTACACTTGATTTTCATATTATTCTGTACTTGATTTTCTTATTATACTTTATTTTCATATTATACTTGATCTTATTATACTTGATTTTCATATACAGTACAGTACTTGATTTTCATATACTTGATTTTCATATACTTGATTTTCATATTATTCTTGATTTTCATATTATACCTGATTTCAATATTATACTTGATTTTCATATTATACTTGATTTTCATATTATACTTGATTTTCACATTATACTGTACTTGATTATCGTACAGTAGTACAGTGATTTTGGCTTCTTTGATAAACCACTAACCCGGGGTTAAACCTCGCAGACGAATGGTGGTGGATTGTAGACGTTTTACTTTTGTCAGTGTAGTCACGTAGTGAACCCATGGGTTAATTTCTGCGCAGGCAGGAACTGGCGAGAAAGCAGCGACGAATTGCCTCGTCACTGTCGACTACACCATGTTCCAGGCCCATTCTAAAGAACCGATCGACTCTACTTACAACCAGGACTCTTCATTCATTTTCCGTCTGGGTACTAGAACTGCTGTCCACATGATGAATGAGATCATGCTCACCATGCGGCCCGGCGAACGCGCTTGGTTCTTTGTGGAGCCCTCGATGGCCTTTGAAAGCGTGGAAACCAGCAAGATCTTTAAACGGTTCGTTTGATTAACTGGATGTACTCCTTGTGCAATTTCCTTTCTTCTCGGCGATACTGAACTCTGAGTGATTGTCGAGTGTTTAAACAGACGCCCATAGAAATGAGTGCGGTGTGAAAAGGTGTAATCTGTAATGTATCGGAGCCGAATTGTTGAAGTCGGGGTAGATGTCGCTGGCAGCGTCGAGTTCACAAATCAGTTCTATCCTGGATTACTGAGGCATTTCAGATTTCGTAAGCTTTGTGGTTCAAATCAATCATGACTTCCGGTGACATCTACTCACGCTGAAAAAATGTGTGTTTGATCCATGAACTATTCCTTCAATAGGAATTTAAGTCGATGCTACTTAAATGTACAATTTTATGTAATATATCTAGGGGTCAATATAAACTTTTCCCTGAACATTTTTTTATGGAATTCTTTGAAACATTAATGAAATTGAGATTCAATTTAAAGATCTTCTAAAATAACTTTAATACAGTGATACCTTGAGATGCGGACATAATTGGTGCATCAAGACATGATGGGTATATCCTCATGTTGCATGCTGCATCATTTTGACTTAGAGACACCTAAGTCAAAATGTCCCTAAGTTGAGTCTAATTTCCCTTAGACCTACATTATATACTTTTCAATTGGTGTTTTATGGACAAAATACTCACCATAATTCCATGAAAATAAAAATTGTCTCCCATTTCAAAGGCCATCGAGGGCTCCACAAAGAACCAAGCGCGTTCGCCGGGCCGCATGGTGAGCATGATCTCATTCATCATGTGGACAGCAGTTCTAGTACCCAGACGGAAAATGAATGAAGAGTCCTGGAGGTAATTTTAATGGATGGTAAATTGGGGAGAGAAATGCCCAAGAACTTTTCTTACATCAATTTTAGGGTTGGAAATATATGTTTCTTGAAATTTGACCAGAAACTGTTCTGCAATTGTATCACAAAATGTCCCAATGTTGAGTCAGTGTCCTCATGTTGGGCCTTTCTTATTAATTTTATGTGGGAAAGAAGTCCAAGTCAATTGTCTGCAGGTCAAGGTGTCTGCATGTGGGGGTCTTACTGTAATTTTAATAATTATGGTTTTAGTTAAATAAATAATTAAATAAGTTAAATAAATTCGTCATTCCATTTTTCTTTAGAAAAATATTTGCTTTCTCTACTTTAGGCCAATTAGGCTTGTGTTCTTGAAAAATTATTGATGTTACACTTTTGTGGTCAGTAGGATTTAATTTTTTATGTCAATAGCGTGAGTTGGAACATTTTCTAAAATTGATTGCAGTTTTCATAAATACTATCATTTGCATCTATTACGGTGGAGGCTTAAATTTCTCAAGGGAATTCCGTTTAAGAGAGGCATTAGATCAGTTGAAGGTAAAACGGTGGTGTTGTTCTAATGGAGAACCATTGCTGCTCATTACTTTTACAAGATTGCGTCCTTTGAATCCCGGTGCTCCGTTCGATATTGCTCACATACTGTTCTCAACCTGGCTTTATCTAAATTTTTGATGATTATTCGTTGATTTGCTGTGGTTTTGCATTGATAGTATTCGACGTGATAAGCCGATGGTGCTCGACGTGGAATTAGTTGAAGTTATGGACAATGCGATAGCGAGGAAGTTGTGGGATTACAGCGACGCGGAGTTGCGCGAAGTGCCTCTGGACGAGGTGTTGAAAGGCGTGGAAGAACTGAAAGCTGTGGCCAATGATTTCGTCAACACTGAAGCTGTCAAGGCTGTCTACAGGTTTTTGTGCACTTTCGAAACCTTCGTTTCACCGCTGTAATCATTTATGTGAATAAGTCAGTGAAGGAATGGGCGGGAAAATTATTTCGCAACATCACAAGTTGAAGAGGAAATTTCAATTATCTGTATCCGGCGTGAAAACTACGCTCGAAGAATTATTTTCAGTGTGGTTAGATGTGAAAAAAATGCAGTTCACAGAATAAGGATAATGATTCTAGGATTTTAATTTCACATTTAAAATTTTTCGTGAGTCGTCCCTCGATTTTTAGCAAATTTTCAAGTTTACTTTTCTGCACGACGGCGGATAATATTCGTAAGAAAAAAATTCCCCGCTGAAACAGGTGGAACTTGGTGAATCAGTGTACGCAAGTGTGTCTGCCAGTGACATCTACCGAATCTGAAACAAAAAATGTTTCAGTACATAGACTCTCCCTACTACAAAATTTAAGGACCAGAAAGAAAAGTGAAATTTAGAGAAGCCCTCTGGGGATGGAAAGAGAAATCATCTCATTTACGCAGAGAAAAAGAATAAATAACGTCATGGACAAAGAAAAAGCGTTGAAAACATCGAAATTGACCCTCGTAATAATTTTTGTCAGGTATCGATGCGCCATCAATTGGCTCCGCATCCGGATGGAAGAAAGCTCGTCGGACGATGAAACCCGGAAGCAGGACATGATCTCTCTCCTCCAGACCAACTGCACCGTCGCCCTGCTCAAGCTCCGAGACCAGGAATCCACGGCCTTGCAATTTGCCCAGGACGCTGTCAAGTCGGCCAAGAAAGGCACCGGCGGTCGTTTGTCCAAGGCGTACTTCCATCTGGCCCGAGCCCACGCTGCCTCGCATGCCTGGCCCGAGGCCACGGCCGCCGTGGACTTGAGTCTGGGGCTTGGCAAGACGACGGCGGGGGTGTTGTTAAAGCGGGACATTGTGGCGGCGTCGCGGAAGGAGCGGGACGCCAGTGCTCAGATGTGCCGGAAGATGGTGGCTGGGGCTGGAGGCGACGGTGCGGGGGTTTCGATCCGGGATTGTCCTCCGGATGTGATTAATGTAGGTTGTGCTTTATTTCGGCGTTTTATTTTTGTTCACTGTATTTGCTCAAGTATATACGACGCACTACTTTTTTTTTTCTTTCGAGAAACTGGCATAAAATGAGGTGAGCGTCGTAGACTTCGGCACAAATTCTGCGTTATTTTGGAACATTTTCCCTTCTTTTCAATTTTTTCAAAGTTCTCTGATTTAGTTATTTTATGATGAGGGTAAGGTAAATTCAGTTCATGGACTGTTTTATAATTGGCCACGCTTCAAATTAAAAAGAGAGATTTGCAACAGCCTAGGTTGATTATGTAAAAAAAAATCATTAATGTTCCAGGCACGATTGTGTCCAGCTGCATTCGGCACGAACATTTCATTTTCCTAATCAATCCTGAGCTGAACTTTGAAAGTGTAAGCTAATATTCCAATTTAATTGATAGCATTTTCCTTTTCTTCCGAGAAAGTAATGAAAAATTAGGACCGCGTCATACACTAATTTTGAAAGTTTTCCCTTCTTTTCAATCTTTTTGAAGTGTTCAGTTTTAATTATTCTATGATAAGGAAAATAATATTTATGGACTCTTCTATAATAGGCCGCGATTCAAATGGAAAACAGATGTTTGCAACAGGCCGGCTTGATTAAGCAAAAAAATGCATTACTGTTCTGGGCACAAGTGTATCCACTCAGCTGCATTCGGCACGACAATTTTATTTTCCTGTGTAATAATTGAGATTTGAACTAATTTTTTTTCAGGTCAGCCCGGAATTCAGGGAATACGCGAGCACGATCATTGGCAGGTTCGTGACGAATGAAAAGGAATGGTTCCTGAGTCTCCCAGACGGACTGGACATGGCTCAACGTGCCTACATTGGCGAGCAGGTGCGAAAGGTGGATCTCGAGACGGTCAAGGACAAGGACGGCAACGTGACCAAGCTCAGGAAACCGAAAAATTACAAGTGCCCTTTTTGAAATGATTTTGGTGCCTCCTGGTCTTGTTCTACGATGAGAAAAACTCTTTTTTTGTAAATTGAATGAGAAAATTTACGTTTGAGTGATGACCGATTTTTTCATTTTCAAGTTGGAGCCTTGACGAAATGTAGGCTGATTTTTCAACGTTGATATTTTTGCCGAGTTGGAACTAACCCACTGGAAGAATTGTGAAATCGATCATTGGCATGCTCAACTAATAATCAATTTCAATGATATTCTGAGAAAAATACCAGACACAAATTACCAGATATTATTTTTGAGCGTTATCAAATAAACTGTATTGTTAGACAATTTTTTAAGATCACTAACCGTATATCAACGTTCAGAAATCGGTCTACTCTTTCAAGGTCCATATTATTGAAAGCAATTGTTTTCAAAAAAATGTGAATCTTCTCTTATTTTATCTCACATTTTATTCGAATCAGGTTTGTCAAGGGAAGAGTGTGAAAGTGCTTGTGGTCCAGTGATTTTTATTTTAAATCATCTATGTTCCGCAAACTGAGGTGGGTCTTTTTTTTGTGCATTGCTTGTTGCCATGTGATTATTTTTGTGCTTGTCAAATGACCCAAGAAACTTGACTGAGTAATCAAATTCTTCTGAAATAAATGGCGCAGATCCAGAGTACTGTATTTACTCAAGTACCACATGCACCTTTCTTCTCAAATTTCAGAAGAAAAGAAGGGGTGCGTGTCATAAGTGGGTACAAATTTTTCAAGAAGTTTTAGGAAGTTATGTGTGCATTATACTTCATTACAATGGAGAAATTTGGAACAGATGTACCAAGAAAACTTGTTTACACTGAAAATGTTGAAAATTGATCAGATTTTTATTCACTTCATGTCTATAGTTGATTTTTTGTTTTTATTTTTGAAATTTTGTGGATTTAGATTCACTTAAAAGTTAAAATTTGGGTGCGTGTCTTACTGGGGGATAAGGTTTTAGCAAAATTTCCAACTGAAAAACCATTGTGCGCGCCTTACTTGAGGGCGCGTGGTACTCCAGTAAATACGGTACAATACTTTCATTCAAGACACATGAAGTTACACTTTTATCTCTTTTGTGTGAAAGAAATGATTGCCAAAAGGCCTCAGGAAAATTTGAGTTTTGGAGGTTTGAGGGTGAAAGCATTTGAGTTTAAGAGATTTTTACTGCATTTTTTTCCTTTGGGTTTTGCAAAAACAAATTGGGAGGTTTAACTGTATTTCGAGTTAACACAGAGGAATCTAGGGAATTTAGCGTGCAGATTTGACTCTCCTGCCTCTTTATTTATTTTTTTGTACAGATCGTGATGCCGAATCCAATGTGGCCGCTGCGACGGCAGGGCCCGCACAAATGGCTGCGCTGGGGCGCCACTTTTGTGTGTCTGGCCCAGGCTCTCGTCATTGCCATCGTAGTTGTGAAAGCCTGTTTCGACACTGAAGGCGGCTGTCATTGGTACTCATTTCTGGACACTGCCATTCACGGACACAAATTTGCCAAAATTTCGGCTCAACAGGCGAAGCAAGAGATAGTTTTGCTGCCTGGGCCCAAGGTCATCAGTGAGGAGGACGAGGATTCCTGGAGACGGTTGAATGGGCGGAATGCGACTCTTTGTTCTGTGCAGCATTCATTTGACGACGCGAGTGTTTGCAGGCAAGTTTTTCGTTTCTCTTTTTTCGTCTGCAAAAGGATTTACCTTCACCAAAAAGTTTTTAAATGGTGAAACTTCTGAAAATATTTTGATTGATTGATGATACATAGATAGATTTATTTGCCGCTAAAATTGTCATCATTCACAAAGTTCAAAAGCATGTTTCCCAGATATCCAGGGGTGGACTAGAAAATTAAGTAATGGAGTTTTCTCTGTTTGCACATTTTCAGCAGTACAGTATTTGGCAATAGATCAAGTAAAATGTATCTGTAATTTAGCCCCAGAATAAATAGCTTTTGAAGGGTTCAGGAAATTTGACTGAGAAAGGTTTAAGGGGATAAGACTGTGAAATGAGGGGTTTTAGAATACAGGTGAACCTCAGTAACTTAAACCTCCCCAAGGTTGAATACTGTTCTAAGTCAATTTTTTTTAGTCCCCATCTGAATCCCCTTAGAAACAATACATCAAGAACCTCCCTAAGTTGAAAGCTTTTCCCCTCAAACCTCCATAAGTCAAATTTTCTGTGGCCTGTTGGCCATTATTTTCTTGACCCAAGAAATAAAAAAGCTTTATAAACAGAAATCCATGTGTTTTAAAGGAAGTGAAACACTTAATTGGGCGAATGAACCCCTGCCACCAAGTTCAGAAGCCCTTCAACTCATTTAAGAAGTCATTAAGCCCCAGAATATCACCATTCACTTTTTTTCTAAGATTTTCCTGAAAAATGGCTTTGTATTGTAGTTCAAACCTATGTAGTGTATACCTTCATGCAGAACCTCCCTAAGTCGAATTTTTTTGCAGGACCTATAAAATTCAATTTGACTTTAAAGTACTATATATAATCTTCTTCAAAAGGGAATTTTACCAACGCTGATGAGCGATTTGTTTTAGGGAGGCTTCCTACTCGAAAGAATCCTATTGTATTTTCAGTACTGTACTTCAATGTCCTCAAATTCGAGAGATTAACTCCTTGAGAATTGTCATCGAAGCTACGGCATTCATGTGTGATGAACTGATGATCGAACGAAAAATATAATTCAGATTTGAAAAATGAACAAACTCAAAAATTGCTTCCAAATCTCCGCCTTGTCAGATCCGTTACGTGTTTTCCTTCAGATGCATGAAATTGAAAGATCATGAGTGTCAGTTGTGCTTGAATTGAAGGCCTGATTTCCTTGAGAATTATAATGAAGAGGCATTTTCGCAATTCTTGTTCAAGAGGCATTTCTTTGCCATCACGAAATTCACACGGTATACTAGCGGAAGAATTATGCGGGACCATCCTAATGACGATGCGGATCGTCCTGTTCCACACAATGAGATGGTTTATAATATTGCTACGCCGTAACGTCAGCAAAATCGTGACGTCACGAAAGCACGCGCTCCCGCGAGAGGGCAGCCCATGCAATTAGAATACTCGAAACGATTACGTACTTCGCCTGACCAATCACAGGAAGCCCCTCCTCGCGGACATTCCAGCGTAGTCTCACTCGAGTGAGGGCGTTGGTCTCGTCAAGACCGTGTTCATTGGGAGAGTGCGAATTGGTGATGTGTGAATATTCGTGTTTTCGTAGATGAATGAAATTAAATTGTCGACGTACCCTCTTAGATTCTATTGAATGTATATTATCCGATTTTCTTATGTTTCACGAAGTGGAAAGATTTCGAGTGTCAGTTGTGCTTGATTTTCTCGAGAATTATTGAAGACGCGTGCACTTGTGCGAAGTTCATGCGAGAGGCATGCCATCCCGAACAGTGTGAAGTATTGGCGGAATAATTGTGCAATGAATTCTCGAATTTGAGAGACAACATTTTCACACAAGCTAGGCAACTTTTTGTATCGATTGAAGGATGAACTTTATTTTTACTGATTAATGAATTCGAAATAGATAGGTTTCTAAATACAGTGAATTCCTTCATCGTGCAGATGCCGGGACGGATGGACTGGTCCGTCGTGTTCATTCCCCAGCCGTTTGTGGCCCACCACCGCCACAGCCGCTACTCAAAAGGACATCCGCCTCTCCCCGAGACTCCGCAACATCATATGCGCGTTTGCCGTGCGAACAGACGAATTGGAATTGGCGGAGCTTCAAGTCCGTTCCCTTGCCCCCTACGTGGAACTGTTCATCATCGCGTCAGCGTTCGTAACCGCCACTGCAGCTCACAACGCCGCCGTCAACAACAAGGACGCCCTGTTGGACCGCCTCCGCGCGGGTTGGATGGCTGATGTCCAGGACAAAATCCTCTACGTGGCCTCTGACAAGTCGTTGAGCAAAACTGTCGCCGGTCGCATCGGGGATCTCCGATCTGATGACTGGGTCCTGTTTCTAGAGCCAGGAGTAGTTGTTTCGAGTGACACCGTGGCGGCACTGAAGATGCACACGGGTCTCGGAGATTGCGTATCTGGTCAATTCCGGAGAACCGCCTTCAATTTGGGCTCTTCGGGTGACAGTGAAACGATGGCATTTGCTGTGACTTACGACGCGTTTTCCAAGCGCTTGAATTATTCTTTCCCGGGACCGTTTTTGAACGCGACTCGGATGACGTCGTCGTCGTCTTCTTCTGCTGTAGTGGTGGTTCCATCAGGAGTGGTGCTGGGTGACTTGGTGGGCTGGAGGTGTTCGTGGTGCCTCGGGAAGGACGCCATGGTGAATCGTGTGAGACTGCTGACCGAGTTGGCGGTGAATGGGGATCAGGGAGCAGCGAAGCAGCTGAGAGACATGGTGGAGGCGAGGGAGACTGTGATGAAGTCTATGGCGGTTTCTGGTGGTGGACCGAAAAGTGGCGGCTTTGTGCCGGACTACGCCTACAAGTATCCGAGCAAGTATGGATTCCTCGTGGGCTTTGGGGCGCCTGAATTGTGGCCAAAGCCGGTGCCTGTGAGATGATACCAGGCGATAATGTGGTCATGGAAGTGGTCATCTTTTTTTTTTTTTGTGCGTGAAATGGTTTTCACCGAAACAACATTCCCCATCGGTTGAGTGAGGAAATTTTGAAAATTCGATTGTGGTTTTGTGGCGGTGTTTGTTCTCTCGAACAAAGAATGGTACCATGCGTTTGAGAGTGTAATCTATAGCGGAATCTCCATCTAGTTTCCTGAATATGTCAAGTAAGTCAGAAACAGTTGTACTTTGATAATTGGAACCTTCATCATGTTAAATCCATTTTTAGTCCCTCTCTGAATTGTCTTGATAATTTTAATGACCTCCCTAACTCAAAGTCTGGTGAAATTCACCCTTGCCTCCACATTCAGCATCTTGTCAGATTATAGAAGAAAGATACAAGCGCCAACTGTACCCTCCTGTAACTCTTCTGAATTTTCAGCGAAAATCCTGTTCGCCCTCGAACATTTTGCAGGTCCCTTGGAATTCAACTTGAAGTTTGAAAGTACCAAAGAATCTGTAGGCTTTTTTTCTTTCTTGCCGATGTCTTCCTTAAAAGTGAGTCAGTTGTGCGTAAAAGCTAGATGGCACACTCGAGTGATAGCCAGATTTTCATGAATCCCAATCAATGGCTTTCAGTTTTTTTTTTTTTTTTGGTTCATGAAATTGTAAGATCTCTTGTCAGTGGTGGTTGTTGAAATTCCATCTGTTCGGCGTGTAAGTGAATCTTCCTGGTGTATTGTTGGATTTAAGGACCTGTTCTCTTGAGAATCAATGAAGACACATCCTTCTTGGAAATTTTGTGCGATACATGGCTTTCTTCTTACAGTACAATAAGTGGACTCCTTGTACAAAAAAATTCGGGGACTAGGAAAAACATCGTTCTAAGGTAGAATGTATTGTATATAGAAGGGCTGAGTATGATAGGCAGAGACACCTATGGGAGAACATATTTTATGCAGAGAAAATTGTTTCAGATGGAGTACATGTAGAGATGGTCTACCTGTATACTTTTTCTGCGGAAGGAAACATGGTTATTGTAATGGAATTACTGCTTTCTCTCTCATCTATTTTCAACTTCATTAAAATCGTACAAATGAGCGCAGAATCATGCAGAAACCAGATAACCTTATGCTGGCAACATATGCATTGATGCGAAAAATGTTCCTGTTCCAGAAGCGGAATCTTCCCTTCATTTAGGTCTCTAATAGTCATTTAGGTGAAATCCAGCATTATTGAATCAGAACTTACCCGAAATTCAAGGTGTCCCGTTTATGCGATAGTGGCCAAATGCGTAGTCTTTCTTTCCTTGTGCCCAGTATTGGCCATATTTTGCTTCGAAAATTGTTTTAGTAGTTTTTTTAATTGTGTGATGATTGGGGACTGCAGAAATCTTTATTTTATTAGATGTGTTACAAAACATGTGTCACGCAATGGTAAATTACATCAATTTTGCTTGCTTGTAATTTTTCCAAAATTCACCACATCATGGCTTGGTGGAAATGAGTGAGTTTAGATGGTCTCCCATGCTATATCAAACAGTTCACTGACAAGTCTTGCAGGGGAGTGTCGATATACCCCCATTGCATTTCAAATACTGTAATATTGTTTACTCAAGTACCATGCACCCCTCAGTAAGCTGTGCACCCCATTTTTCTACCAGAAATTTTTCTGAAAACCTATTCCTGTGTAAGATATGAACCCCAGTTTCTTTGTTGCTGCTGACATTTAAGGATTGTAAATTTATTTTTCTGGATTCATTTTCTCCTATTGACATTTTGTGGTCCCTGCTTTTTATTGTCCACAGCTCCCTCAATTATAGAAATATGTTATGCTTCCTGTTGTATTGTTAACTGATTTGCTATCCCTTCTAACATTTCCCATGAACAACGAGACTTGATGCCACCCATTTCCTCTTGAATTTTTTTTAATGTATGCGCATACAATGTGCAGGGTTTTTGAAAAGTTTTCCTCGAAAATGGTATTCCAAGGTACCACGCAAACCCTTTTTTCTGCCCTTATTTCTGGGAAAAAGGTGCCCATGGTACTCAAGTAAATATGGTATATGTTCTGGAGTTCAGATAAATGTAGCTAGCAAAGTCCATGATTGCTGGTATGTTAGAAGTACATCTATTCTTGTGCTCTGTCAAAATGGAACTTATTTGTCAATGGAGGAAACTCATTTCTATGCTGACATGATGCTTGTCCACCCATAGGCCTCATTCTGCCTTGAAGTCTGCTGCTGAATTTTACTTAGTAATTATGGAAATTGTTACATTAAGTCATCATTAAATTGACTTCAAATTTTGGAACTCCAGGTTGAGGTAAATAATGAGTGATTTCTTTTGCAAGTTCAATCAATCAATTATGCTTAATATACTGTATGTTGTTCTCAGCTTGAAAATTTTTTTTAGGAAATCTCATGGAGAAGCAGTGATGCTATCCTGGAAATTCAAACTTATGTATGATTTTTAGATGATATTACGTTGCAGTCGAAAATAGGTAGTAATTTCATGTCGTAGGAATGTAAGTTCGAGTGTGGTACAATCATGTATGTAGAATGTAAATTGTGCATCATCAGCGTGTAAAATGATACTGAAGATGCACAAGTATCATCTCATATATGAAATTAGTGCATGGTGAAAAAGAAGTTGTGAACAACTTGAGAGAAAAATTAGTTTACCTCCCCTGTTATTAAAAATTTGAAGAAAAGGAAGTAGAAATCGGAGAAACACGAGGAAAACATCAAATTCAACACGTGAGTATCTTCTTTGATATAATCATGTGGTTGAATTGAAAATTAATCAGACACAACATACTTGCGCGAATCTCGTGAGATACATTTCTTCCCTATCACAACCTTCTTTCACACAAGAATGAAACATGCTAAGTGCAATGGAATCCCTGCGCAGTTTTCCATCCATTGTCCACTTTTGGATGTACTCGCTAATCACAAAAGAGAACTTGAATTCATTAAATACTGTTCCATCAGATAATGTTATGAAAATCAAACGCACCTAACCAGTCAACCCAACTTTACATTCCATCTTGCATTAAATTCCAGTTTTTATCTTAGTTGGTAAGAAAAATCCAAATGCAAGCTTAGTTTTCAAAAAATGTTCCTGTAAGCTTGTTTTCTTTTGCTTGGTCCATGAAATTATGCAAACAAGCTTAAAAACAAATCAGTCGAATTCCAAAAAAATGCTGGCACAGACCTTTCATGCCGCAACCAATGCAAGTACATTCCAAGAGTGGACAAGGTGAAATACAGTACCTCCAGGTAAATGCATCCAGTCTGCAAGAGTAGCAACTATTCCCCAGAAACTGCACCAAAAGAAAGAATCTAAGCCCTGACTGAACCTCTTTTTTTTTTACTAAGGGTTGACATATGACAAATAACAAAACAGACGAAATCTTTTCAGCCCTCATTGTTGCAAAAAATTATTGCTGCTTAGTAAGTGAATAAGAAAGTATTCGATACAACATAGAAAAAATTGCACCAAACACGCGCATGGAACAACAAAAAAAACGGCAAGACTGATTTGACATGACTAGATTCTTGAACCCAATGCACAAAAAAACACCTAAAAATTGTCACCCTGATGCAGACGAGGTGGGATGTACTCTGCCACATATATCACAGCTTCCCGTGGAGAAGTTACAAATTTCGTGGTCTACCCTTCCAATAATGACAATCAATCAATCAACAAAGAGAGAAACGGATACAAAATCATCAATCAACGAACTCGTTACCACAAATGAAAAAAAGTAGATAGATTGCGCGTGGTTTTTCCCCCAATTTCACTTGTTCCCGAGAGTCTTGACAACAACAAAAACACCCTCGTTTTCGAGATACTGGCCAAGAAAACGAAATAAAAAGGGGGATTTTTTTTTTTTGCTTTCCGTATCTTCTCTCACTCAAACTTTGTAAAAACGGGGGTTTCGTTTGAGGGACGCGAATTGGGGAATATCGGGAGGTTGATTAATTTATTCATTAAAATTCATTGATTAATTCGTTCTCTCCCTTCCTGGTTTCCACTTGCATTTAAGCGATGCCTCTCTTGAAAGCTGTGGAATTCGTTGCTTTGGTGCTGGCAGGTGTGGATTTTTCATTCAGGTTAAGAGTTGGGCTGCGCCGACGAATCATCTTTTGCCCCAGACGACGAAGGTTTCTCATCTGTTGACAAGTAAGAAAACGCATTGATAAATACAAGAAAAAAAAAACAGCGAAATCTCGTTACAATGAAGCATTTGGATCCTTAAAACGGAGTCATCATAAACAAAATTTCGTTAAAGCGAAATTGAAATAACATTGTGGCTAATGGACGAACACTCTGTATTTTACTGTACCCCGTGTTCACTCAAATACCACTTGATCTGTTTTCTAAATTAAGCTCAAAAAAGGGGGAGCGCGTCCGATTTGAAGTATTATTTTTCTGCAATTCTGTTCTGAAATTTTTGGTGCACTTTGATCAAAATCTGTGAAGTTTAAAGAAATATTATTCGCATATTAGAATGATTAAAAATATGTATTCAGGTTCAAATATAAATGGTTGAAAGTGTGAAACAAAAAAACTAAAGCAGTACTGAGCTGTGCAATGGATTCAATATTTTTTTTAGTCCAAGTTCAAATTCTAGAACTTTCAGTATTTCCTTAAATAAATTTATTTTCTGTGTCAAATCTCATGCGGGGATTATTTTTTTGCGTCCTGATGCATTGGTCAGTTGCTTGCTAATTCATCCGTTAGTTGCTTTGCTTTTATTTTGCAGCTGAAAAATAAAGGTGAGAGTAATTTTAAAAATTAGGATACTGCTTCTGTGCATATTTCATGAAAAATTCTACATTCAGCTGCAGTGGCAAATAAATTGACAAGATTGAAGCTTTCTCCATCCATATAACAATTGTTTAGAGATATTTTCATCAGTAAGATAATTCAACTGTTGAGCCCTCTTTATTTGATCCATCAAAATTTTCAACAGTTGAAGAGAATCTTATTAAAATAAATCTTGATTTTGAACAAATTATATAAACTGTACTAACAGAACATAAAGTTTCTGAGATCCCCCACCATATTGGGTGGGTGGTTTTCAACCAGTGGTATGCTAGACAAAAATTTCCTTAATTTTTAAGAAATTCAGATAATTTTGTGATGTTAGTTTCTTGGGCCTGGCCCTATTGGGTGCTTACATATTTTTTGCTAGTTTTGGTGCTTATTTTACTAGTTTGGATGAGTGATATTTCACACAGTAAAAAATCTGCACTGAATTATTTCAACATGATCAAAGGCAAAATAGCTCACAATTACCCCATATGCAACTAAAAATCTAACATACCGCTGGTTGAAAAACTTTGCTGTACACAACACAGACCATTCACACACAAAATAACACTGAAACTGAATGATGGAAAAACACACATTTTTAACATGCCCAAAGTAAGGATTAGTACTTGGGTAAAGTTGACATTCTTAAATAAATTATCTTTTGAAGTGTTCTTATGTTGTTAGCCAAATTAATGTTCATATTGGAATGATATTTGTTGTAAGTCCTTCAACCAGCAGTTCTGTTGTTCAAAGAGTCACAGAAAGGTTAAATATGCCTTAATTTGTCATTGAACCGCTGAATTGATTATTTGACAGTATGGAGAATGAATTCAGAGGTGAACTTGCCCAATCAATCAGTCACTCATTTCCTTATGAAAATCAGCAAATTGTACATCTATTGCTCTCCCACTTGGTTTCCAGAATAATAGTTCAAAGACCTTCCAAAATTAGAGCTATGAGTAGGAAAGTCATCCAATTGGAGAAATCATGATTCTTCAGGATTTTGATGGGTGTGTTTGACTTAGCAAGGTCCAACTGCATTCGAAAATGTTTGCTGTACTGTAAAATTTCCCGGTTTCAAAGATCTTTCTCCTGCCAAACTTCTGTTGGAGAATTGTATTCTTTAACGTATACTTCTTACACATATTTCCCACTACTGTATTTAAGAATCAAAAGGAAATTCTATGCTAGGAAAAATTAGAGAATCAATTGTAGAAAAACCTTTCTGAGCTTCTACACATGCCAATCTCACACACACAAAAATACTGTAATTGCTCAAGTACCATGTGCCCTTGGATAAATCATGCATCTTAGATTTTAAGCTACATTTTTGGAAAAATTTCATTCCTGCATGCCCCTTGGTTTTCAGTTACCAAAATTTCTTAAAAATTTACTTTGAAGCCCATTTCTAAATGCAATTTGATGGGTTACATTCTTGGTTTCATACAAATAGTAACTACTGTACCATCAACCCTTGAGAAGCAGCCACCCTTTATTTATTTTCTTTCTGGAGAACAGCTAATACTGTATATGAAAAAAATCACTTTCTTCTAGAAAACAACCAAAATACAGCCTGTGATGCACACATTATATCTAGCTGATGTTCCCAAAAAGTAAATTGTGTCATCTTCAATTCCTTTTTTCATTGACAACCTCTCAGGGAAACTTGATTTTTTGGCAGATGGCGTTTCAATGCAATTACCGCATAATTAAATCTGTCTTCAAAAAATTTGTGCTTGTCAAAGGTGGCGGCGTATTTGAGAACGCTTTCAATGTGTTTTCACTGTAGTAACACTGAAGTTTATCAGGATAAACAAAACGTAGCTAGCTTTTTTAAGAAGAAGAATTTAAAATATAAAAAAAATCCCCTTTAAATTCTGTCCCCAATTGAGATGTAAAACCTTTTTTTTCCGAGGGTGCAATGGGAACTTGGGTGAATACAATAAAAAATAAAATGAATGAATGAAATAATGATTGATAGGATCCGCACACTCGCCCAAAATGTCGCCGAGGGCATTCCGCCGCCCCGTGCGACCAGACACGAGGAAGTCCTCGGGCACCGCCGCAGCCGGTGACGCCACCGCGCCGCCCTCAGCCGATGGACCGCCTTCCGCTCCGCCGCCGCCGCTACCGCCTGCCGATGAGCCGCTCATGCTGCGTGCTCATCCTCTCCGACGGTGCTTATCTCGTTCACACCTCTCCTCACTTCACTCTTTGCCTCTCCTTTTTTTCTTTTCTTAAGTCTTCTGTCAAATAAAAATTGATGCATCAATCATAAATCAACCCAAAATAGAAAGAGGTAACAAAAAGCAACAACAAAAAAGTCCCAATGAAGTTAATTCACTAGAGATGCTCGAGATGTTTCTCCACAGAAGCGGATGTTTTTGAGATATTGAATAAACATATCAATCAATTAAATCATACCTTTCCAGGAAAAAAATGCTTATTTTAATTATTCAAATTCAAATCTCTTTTAGTCGTATCCGAAAAAGAAAAACTGTATTGTATTGAATAAATATTTTGGCCACATCCTATGCACTTCGACTCCATCTAAATTCGAAAGGGAAAAATATCGGATCCAAACACAGAATTAAATTAAACCATTCACTCGTTCCACTTTCTCAAAATTTCAAAATTCCAATTTCGAAAATTCAATTGAATGGCTGGAGACAACAAAAAATATTACTAAAAGTGGGTACACTGGAAAGTAAGATTAAAATTAAACTGTACTTAGAACATATTTAGTTTCACTCCTGTCAAGTCTTATTTCTGGTAAAGTGAAGAAATCGAAAGAAAATTTTCCGAAAAGGAATTTGAATTCCAAGATGGCAAATACACCACTTAGTGTCTGTGAATAATTTTCAAAATTCAGCATCTCAGTGTGAACTCACTTCTTGAAACACTTTCTCTCACTATTCCCCAAAAACTTCCGTTTCCGATTTATTTGGTTTTCTTCCGCTCAAGAAAAAAAAAGAAACAACCTTGTCAACTGTCAAATTGTCATCAATCTACCTTTTTTTTTTCTTGGTCTACTTATAGTGCCTTACTAAGTTATAAACGGGTTTTGTTGTCCGAGTGGTTACGTGTTTTTTTTACGGGCGAAGAAGGCGCACCTTTATTTCGGAGCTCACTCTACGCACAATAAATTGTTTCACTCTTTTGTTCCAATGCATAAATTGCAACCCTTGAAATTCCTCTTTGGACTGTTTTCACGCTGAATAGTGATCAGAAAGTATGCATCTTTTCTTCTAGAAAGAAACTGCAAAAATTCTATTCTAATTCAAAGAAGTCTCAAATTTTGGGGAAAAGATGGGTATTGAAATTTGTTTCATAGCCCTTTGAGTACTCTAGAGAGGACAAGTAGCATGTATTGAACTTTTGGAACACCCCCTGAAAATTCTGCAGTAATTCAACTTTTCTTTCAATTTTCAAATTTAAAAAAAGGGGGAATGGAACCGTTTTTAGTGAGAACTTGGATCAAAGTGTCTTTCAATTTTTGAAATAACTCCCTGACCTTTCTTTTTGAGAATTTTCGTAGGCGCTGGCACCAATACGTGAGTCACCTGAATACGAGTTTCGCAAAAACACCCAAAATCTGGTATTTGGTGTGAATGCCAAAATACAACTTCGTGATGATAACCAGGGAAACTTTTCGTTGAATTTCAGTCGGAGTTCTTCATGCCCAGGCACAATTTCCCGGATCATTCGTCGACATCCAAAGCAAGTCCGCTCTGCGAATCAACAAAATGCAGTAATTTAAAAAATACGCCATGGAACGAACAAAAAATACAGAATCAAACTCACCCAGTAGCGGATACCATGAAAAATAAACCAGCAACAACAAGGACATGCATGATGTTATGCGAATTACAGGCATAGTCCAGACGTCCTGTAAAGTGAGAGACAAAGTGATCCGCATAACGGAATTATTTCGCAGGTCAATTTTTGGCCAAGAAAAGGCAGATTTGAAAAAAAAAAATTAGAAAAATGTGAAAAGATGGTCACATTTGGTGAAGTTTATAGTCATGTGCACAAATTGTCTAGTTTAACTTCAATGTAATTCCATATTGATGCAAGTAAAACATGCACTTTTTCCTGAAGGTCAATTTTGCCAGAGCCAACTTTTCCCTGCTCTGCTCTGAGTCACTCCTAGTGAATCTGCACTCTCTCTTTTCTGGTTGTGCATGAGTGACTTGAAGAATAGGGAACTCAACTGCAAGTATTGAGGCTCACACAAGTTGAGTTGGATTTATCAAGCTATCAAGGTTCATAATTTGAAACACATGATGGAATACAGTAACACTTTTCCAATTGTTCTATAAACTTCAATTTGAAAGGATTCAGCATTTGGGGATTTTGAAGATGAGGTTAAGAGCTTGAAGGAGTAGCAAAAGGCTTCAACAATAACTGTTCTGAAGAGATGATTATGTTTTTTAAAAAAATTTAAACGTTTAAAAGAAGAGTTTCACACAAGAACCAGGTTCTGGTAGAAAAAGATTCTCAGTGTTGCAGAAACTTGTTGTTACAGTGTAACACTCTTGTCAATCTGAACTCATAGAACCCAATTATTGAATCCATTCAAAAGTAATTCCTTGCTCCATGAAATAATTTGAGAAGTTACATTCTATCATCATCTGCTTCAAAATATGAACCCACTTGTTCAATCCAACTCAACTTGTGTGGGCCTCAAAACCTGCTGTGATTTCCCTATTGTTGAAGTCACTCATGGGCAATCAGAAAAGAGAGAGGGCAGTTGTACTGAGAGTCACTCAAAGCCCAGCAGTCAAGAGTAAGGCTACACATATAATGCAACCTCAAGGGAAAATACATTTTGAGAACAAAATTCTGCACCCCCTTTATTCATCTTTATTTACTTGAGTACTGTACTATGCGCCCATGAACAATACATTTATCAAGGTTTTCAATTAAAAAAGTTTGACAAAGTTAATCCCCAAGTAAGATGCACACCCTATTTTTAGTGGCTCTGGAACTGCAATATTTCAAAAATAAAATAATGCAACTTTGATTTAAAAACAAGAAGTGAACTTGAATTCAACCAATTTAAAATTGCTTCCACTGAAAAATTTTTCTTGTAAAAATTGGTCCAAAATTTCCCATCAGAATCAAAGATAATGCACACATAAACTTCTAGACTATTCAAGAAAACTATACCAGCTCATGATGCACACCCCCTTTTTATTTCTAAATATTGAGAAAAAAAGGTGCACCTGGTACTTGAGTAAATACAGGTGGTACCTTGGAATTTGACCCTAGTCCATTGCCAAACTAGGGTTGAATTGTGTGAATCACTAAAACTTCAAGACACTCCATCACATTCAAAATACAAGCACAAAAACACGGAAAAAGCAGGTCAAATTGTGGGTGCAAGGGTCAAATTGCAATTCAACCTCTTGTACATAAATTTATTTGATAGGATCTGACTAAGTAAATGAAGTGAAACAAATTATTTAATTTTTAAAATTGGCCCACTGACCCGGAAACCAGCGCTCAGGAACATGAGTAGCAGAGATGACAGCCCCAATGCAGGGCACAGCGTCCTGCAAGATTATCCCAGGCAATGCATCCGGACTACCTCCACCCACAGGAGACAGTCGCAGCATCAGGAGCCCCATCCGGAACAAGAACATGAACAGGAATGACAGCCTTCTCTCAACTGCGTCTCTGGCAACCAGGACCTGGAGAAAAAGAAAAGAACATCATCATCATCACCACATCAATCACTGCAAAATTAATGACAAAAATCAAATCAAAATACATCACTGTTCAGAAGAAAAAAAATTTCTTTTTCACAAAAATAAAATAAACTGCTACAAATGGATATTTTGAAAATTTTTCCAGAAATCAGTCTGGAAGCTTTCTGCTTCTCACTCAAACAAACCATCTTGCAGATTTTTCAGTCTACCCCACATGGCAGTAATTGCAAAGGTTGCTGTAATTAATTGATTATCAATTCCACTGTTTTCATGAACAGCCGCCGCCAGTTGGGATAAGAATGTGGCGGCTGTAAATGAAAATGGCGCAAGTACTGTACCTTGGAGGACCTGCAGGCAACTCTTGAGATTAATGCCACGTCAATTTCAACAATTATGAAGGAAAAGCCAGTCTGCACATGGGATAAGAATGTGGCGGCTGTAAATGAAAATGGCGCAAGTACTGTACCTTGGAGGACCTGCAGGCAACTCTTGAGATTAATGCCACGTCAATTTCAACAATTATGAAGGAAAAGCCAGTCTGCACACAAAAAAATCTACTTTTGAATGCAGAGCAGAAATCTACCAGAGTGACATGCAAAAAATGTAGGAAAATATAAAAGATTTCTTCTGATGCCAAAGAATGTCATTTCTGAACAATGACTGCTTTTCAGCTGAATCATTCAAATTGCTGTTGCAAGAACTTTTGATAGACCCCTCCCCCCTCCATGAAAAAAGACATTTATGAGAGAGGAACGACCTCTAAACAGATTGATAATCACAACGAAGGTACAGTACCGCTATGCAAAATAAAATGAGCTAATTGCGAGCATCCATTACAAGAAAAATATTTCCAAGTCAAAATATGAAAACAAACTTCGAGACCGTGCGTCAGTGACATCTAGCGAAGAAAATACGAGTTACAAATGAATGCGTTGACTTTAGAGAGGATCCACAGTGACCACGTACTTTGAGATGGAGTTTGCTATGGTTGTAACAAGTCGTTGTTATTTTTTTTATCAGGTGTAAGTTGAAATTTTGGTAAACCGTTTTGTCACTCATCATCACTCAAAAATAACAATACGTTCCAGCATTTAAAACAATCTCATATACAATGCGCAAATACAGTAACACGGTTTGCACCCAACAGAAGTACAGAACCTTACGTCACGCATTAAAATTGCTTCTTACTGAGCACTTTCAAAATTTTCATCAAGAAATGTTCTGTTATGCAGGTACTGTACATCTATTTTAAACCCAGGCAACGAAGAATCACACTGAAATTTCTGAAGACAAACGACCAAAAAAAAAGATTAGCCCAAGCAACCTCATCGAGGAAAACAAAACTATCGATATTTTGTGCACTAAAATAAATAAATAATATAAATAATAATTGAATACAAATAAGAACCTAGGGAAGAGTATTTCTCTTTTTTTTCAGGGATGCCCCTCACCTTGCTCAGCCCCCAAAGCGACAGCAAAGCGTAAGTTGCAACGCAGACAAAACGCCAAAGAGCAGAAAGGCAATAGCACGCAGCAGTCACAGTTGTCAGAGCTCCTGTTACAGCCATCAAACATCAACCCAATCCCACCCACAAAAAAAAGGGAGTGAGAGAAAAGACCAGAGAGAAAAAAAAAGAGGAAGGAAGAAGAAAACATTGCTTTATCTTATCCGTATTAATAAAAAAAAAAAGGGTGGTTCTGAGTCAGGAACATCATTATTAGGAATTATCCCTCGAAATTGGACAAATCCCAGGTCGGGTTTGGGATATTTCTTCACATAAGTTCTTCCGAATAAATTACTCATAAACTGACGTAACACTCGAAGAATTTATGCGCATCACACAGCTGCCACTTTAGACACAAACAAATCGAACATTAATTAGCTCTTATGGCACTGTGCCAATTTTTAATCACAAACTATTTTAGCTTATTTTACCTAATAAATGTATCAATTTCTATACAGAGCCAATACAGAAGAATTTGTAGCACTAAGGGAGGCATGGGATCATCTTCCAATAATTTAAACACAAGTATCTTCTATTTTTACTTAAAAAAAAAACTCCATACAAAGAAACCTTTAGGATAAGTGAAATAGCTTCATAATAATGAAAAAAGTTGTTATTAGGTAACAAAGAGCATACAGGGTGGGCCAAAAAAAAAGTGAACCAATTTTTGACCTGAAATAGCTTGGAAGCAAATGGAGCTTCAGCAATGAAAAACTTGCTCAAAATTTATTTCACTCAAAATCAGTTCAATTCAAAAATCATTCTCACTTAAAATCAGTTCCAGTCATCCAGAAAAAAAATTTGCATGCAGTGGTTTTTGGTGCATTTCCCTTATTCATGCAAGCAACTAACTCTCCAGAACAACAGCATAGTGGAAAAAGTTTGCCTCACAACTTTTTTTTTGTTAAAAGTTTTCATTCAAATGGTTCTTGTGACCATTCTGTGGAACTAAGTGACCATCAAACTACATATCATTTGAAATAAAATTGAAAAAAAAAAACTCTCATTCGGTACTTTTTTCCATTGCCACAGCTCAATTTGCTACCAAGCTATACCAAGTCAAAAAAATTGTTCATCTTTTTTTTTTGGCCCACTCTGTATAATCATGTTTTATTCTTGAAAAGAGAATTCTGGGGAAGGCGGTGCAGAAATTATTTCCCTTGCAGCTCAAAAATTGCTTCCTTGGGCAGAAATATCAACAACAAAATAAATTCGTTGTAATGAGTAATTCGTTACAAGGATGAGAAGCAACTTTTTCAAAACCTCACCAAAACTTTGCGTCACCCAAATGCCGATCATGTCGAAGGTGAGCAACCGCTTGTACCATCTCGGATCATGGTTGTAATTCATGAACAACTGTCGCAAAAAAAGAAAAGATTTTCCGATTTAAAAATAAATAAATCACGAATACCCAATACAATGACTCACGTGATAGAGTGAACTGCCGACCCAAGAAGATCCGCTGGCGACCAGCGCGAAAACAGGCAGCAAGGGTACATCCACATTGTCCCAGGGCACCAGGGACTTGCCCCTGATCATCACATACAGCAAGGGGGACACTGTCAAAGAAAAGAAAAAAAAATTACATCTTTATTTTGCAACACAGAGCACATCAAAGAGCCACAAATGAAAACAACTTTCAATTTTTACAATTCACATGCTGAAGCAGAGAAACCTCACAAATAAAGTCACCCCTTTTTTTCCCAAGGGGCNTGCGACCAATTCAGTTCACCATGGGTTTTTTTCTTGGGGCCAAGGAAAACCTGCTCAAAGTTTTATTATAGAAATCTACTATAATTATTTTATTCTTTTTAAAAAATATTCTTAAAATTAATTTTTTCACAAAAGATTGCATTGTCATCAGTTTCTAAGCTATCCTGAAAGTTTCAGCTTGATAGCTAGTCGGGAAGTGAGTGAAATTTGAGTTTCAAAATTTGATCCGGACAAACAGACAGACAGACAGACAGACAAGAAAGTGAGTTCATAAAAACGTGGTAAAATAAAAGTTGGCTTTCCTCATAGTGACACTTCAGACACATTTTTCACCTGCTGGAATAAATGTTAAAAAAAACAATTTTCTGAGAAACCTTTCTTCAAGCCCACCTTTCCAATTTTTTGAAGACATTCCACAATAGCATCTTCACTGGTTCTCCAGTTAATTTTTGCAAAAAGCAGCAACATTTCAAATACTGTACCTTACATGAACTCTTTCCAACCAAGCTTTTTTTGAATCTGCAAAAATGTTTTATTCAACATTTGCTGGACTGTAGAAAATGTTTTGGAAACTTGCTGGTCCATGGGCCAAAAGAGTTGAGGAAAGACTGCTGTAAAAGACATCAAAAAGGTAGTATCCACAACAACAAACAAATGCACATGTGCAAATTGAACAATGAATGGTCATTTTGAGGGTCTGAAACCAATTACACATTCAACATAGACAGGGAAACATCATCACAACAAAGCCTATGGGACTAGTGAAATAATTTGTCCATTTAAAAATTGTCACACAGTAACTCAATTAAAATTTGCAGTTTTTGGGAAGTGACCAAATAAACTACTTGTTGCAATAAATTATTTGTTATAATGAGATTTGTTGTAACAGGATTCCCCTGTACCATATTCACTTGGTCTGGTGTGTTTTACAAAGAAGTTTTTCATACTACCTTCCCAAAGGTTGAAAAGGTTTCAAACCTGTACCTCAGTGATAAGTTCTTTTATAATCTGTTTAATTTTTATAGTAAATAACTTGGTTAGTCAATTGAACAGCCATCAAATTGAAGTCAGATTGGAATCACACATTTCAATTTTGATTGTATTTTTGAATAAATTACTGCAATAATTCAGTCACAAACATAGGAAGCACATCTTATTCAGCAATAGGTTCTTATCCACATTTCAGGCTGGAAATTGGAGATGAGAGTCTTATTCAAGGGCATGTGGTACTCAAGTTCATAAACTATGACGCAGTTAACAGGTACTTCAGATAATGGACTTGAAATCAAAAAGATAACACATGATAACCAGGATCCCTAGTACAGAGATTTCCTCCAAGACTTGCATAAAAATCATCTTCATTAATAAATTTCCATCTGAAGCTTTCTTTGGAGGACTGCATGGAAGGCATTTAAACAATGTCTGCTGGTCTACAAAAAATTTTACAGAACTTGGCTGGTTGGCTAAAAATTCAACAGCATTTTCCTGGTCTGTGGGCCCAAAAAGGTCAAGTAAAACTAGTCTATATTATATTGCTCTCAAGAGAATTCAGACAAGGACTGAAAAATAAATCCAATGCACTTTAGACTTTACAGCAGCAGTGTTACCTATACTTTTTTGAAAAGTGGACCAGCAAATTTCCATATACATTTTCTGCAGACTGACCAAGTTTTATAACATTTTTGCAGATTCAAAACAGTTTCATTTATAATACTTCATTTAAATTGTGTAAAACGCTTCTGCTTTTCCACATTACTTCAATGTTTGGTTACTTCGTTGATATCACCTTACAGAAGTGTTTAAATCTTTCCACCCGAATTTCTTTCCAAAGAGTATTAATTTTTAATTTTATTAAATAAAATCGTCCACTTTTAAACAATGAAGCATTATCAAGAGAAACCCCATTTATTATTTTTCATCAAATAATTTCAACTGCCATTCTCTTTCTAAAATTTCATATAAAGATAACAGACTTCATTCCTATTTATGGTAAATTTATTATGCTGAAGAAAACTTCCTGTGCCCAGGAGTCACTTGTAAACCTATTCTGCAGACCACAGGTTGGTGAACACTGGTCCAAATCACACTTTTGACAGTTCCCAAGAGAATCAGGACAGGGACTAAACAATAAATTTCAATTTACAGAATTTTTGAAATGGCAAAAAAAAATCCACAAAACTCACAATGGGTCAAGATGTTGATGGTCTCATTGTGCAAGTACAGCAAACTGGCAACACTGCTCCATGCGTCCAACGCGCCTCTGTAACCCGTCAACACAAACGGGTTAAACCGCAAATGCACTGGCACT